GTTTAATTATTTCCAGGTTTAATTATTTACAATTTGTAATTGTTTCAAGTTTATTTAATTACAAATTGTAATCAAAGTTTAATTATTTCCAGGTTTAATTATTTACAATTTGTAATTGTTTCAAGTTTATTTAATTACAAATTGTAATCCAAGTTTAATTATATTTACAATTTGTAATTGCTTCAAGTTTTATTTTTTTTAAAGCTTATTTTCTTGAAAACACCTAAAATGAAACATGTAAGAAACACCTGAAGCAAGCTTCAATAACTGCTTCAGTTTCTAATTTATTTAATTACTTCTCTCATTAAACTACCTAATATCTTTCCCCCAAAAAATCATTTTTCCTTCCTTTTTTCTTCAAAAATAAAAATAAAAGTGTATATAAGAGTGTGTCAATGACGAAAAGTGTGCCCGGTCATCAATTAAATTATAAAATAGATTAAGAAAAAAAAAGAAAAGAGACGAAAAGTTAATCGACCGAGAGGGAATGAAGGGAAAGGTTTTATAATCTAAACCGATAAAAGTAAAAAAAATATTTTTTTGTGCGCGTGAAAAATTTTTTTAATGACAAAAATTATAAAAGTGTGAAGTAGAGAGGGGTATTTATTTGCCCTTTATTTTAAAAGGTAAAAAAGGAAAAAATTAATAATCAAGTAGATTTTGATTAAATTGAAGCAAAATTAAACAAAAAAAGTAGACATTTGGTGGAATAAATCTTCAAAAAAAATCTGAAGCAAAAAACTGACTGAAGCAACAGAAAAATTTGAAACAAAAACAAATGAACACAAACTGAAGCAAATCTGAAAAAAGTAGAAGCAACTTTTACAACTGAAAACTTGAAGCACCAACCAAGCTTAAACAGCTTTCAGAAATTGAAGCAAGCTTCCACAAAAATAAAATACAGTATACCAAAGCATTAAATAAAAAGCTTTTAAGGCGTTGAAGCATTATTCCGGTGTGGAAAAATTAATAGGACACCTAACGGAATCGAACCATTATCAAACAGGACACAAAATTCAAGAGCACAACCACCTACACCACACTTACAAATTAACGACTAATTAAATTATTTATCCATATTCTGTTGAAGCTTCACAGAAACAAGCCTAAACATTAAAAAATATTTTTTTTTGGGACAAAATGTCATCTTTAACAAAACTTCTTTTCTCTCCTTTTGTTTTTAAACCTTTCTTATTATTTTCCTCTTAATTTTCTTCTTAAAATTTTCAGAAAAGTGGTTGGTATAGCTTTTCTTTTCTTCCTCCTTCTTATCCAGTAAATTAATAGTTTGGAGGGGAGGCTCTAACGCCATCAGGCACATTTCGAGGGAGAAAAAGAGGAGAAGAAGGCAAATTGCCAAACAAATAAAAGGAAAAGCAAAAAATCTTTTTTCCTAAAGCTTCCAAGTAGGGTTGTCGGTTCTTGGAAAATCTTCGGATATCCGGAACCGAACCGAAGAACCGAACCGAAAATTTCGGATATCCGGAACCGAACCGAAGAACCGAACCGAAAATTTCGGATATCCGAAACCGAACCGAAGAACCGAACCGAAAATTTCGGATATCCGAAACCGAACCGAAAATTTTCGGATATCCGGGACCGAACCGAAAATTTTTTCGAGGTTAAGATGTTATTGAGGATTAGTGGTGGGTATAAAAGAATTTGTTTGATATAAGAGATTTGATATCGGGTGATAAAAGGGGTTCTGAATTGACCACATACTTCGCCGGAGGCGGAAATTTTGAGAATTTTAAAAGTCCAAAGGACAGCTTTCTACCTTTTTCAGCGCCGCAGGCGAAAATTTTGAGAATTTTGGAAGACCAAATGACAGATTTCTTCCTTTTTCAGCGCCGCAGGCGAAAATTTTGAGAATTTTAGAGGACCATGAGACAGATTTCTTCCTTTTTCAACAGGAAATTATCGGATATCCGGATCCGAACCGATATCCGAACCGAAGATTTTCGGATATCCGGATCCGAACCGATATCCGAACCGAAGATTTTCGGATATCCGGATCCGAACCGATATCCGAACCGAAAATTTTCGGATATCCGGAACCGAACCGATATCCGAACCGAAAAATCATCGGTTCTTCGGTTCGGTTCGGTTCGGTTCGGTCCAGAACCGACAACCCTACTTCCAAGTCATTTGTCAAAATATTCACAAAATTGGATAGAAAAAAAAATATTTTTACTGCAAAAACATTGAGGTTTAAAAATATTGAAAAGAAAAAAAAGGGAAAGGGAAGAAAATTGTAAAAATTAAAAGATAAAAAAAAATTGTAAAATTAAAACATAAAATATTGAAAAAGCTTTAATTTTTAAATCCCCATACATTTTTAATTTACAAGAAAATTGAATAGAGACCGGAATTGAATAGAGACAAGATCTCGATCGAAAATCACGGTTATCGAGATGGAGAATTTTTCGAGATCTCGATTCTCGAACGACACTCCCAGTCCGGTCTCTATAGTACACATAGGTAAAATCATAAAACTCCAAAACTTTCAAAATGCCAATGAGACAAAATGCCACTATTCAAAAGGTCAATGGCTTAAAATGCCCAACTTGTCAATAGTAGCCCAAACGGTCACAGCCCAAATTTCTGATATCCAAAAATTACAAAAACTAAAATTCAAACAATAATGCCAAGAATCCAGCATTATACAAAATTTCAAAATCCTTTCAAAATTCCTTACAAAATCCCCATACATTTTTAATTTCAAAATCCTTTCAAAATTCCTTACAAAAATTTCCAAAAGTAAAAATCCATTTAGTATTCCTCCCCCCCTCCCTTAACCTCCCCCCCCCCCCCAAAACCCTTATTTTATACATATATATTTTTCCTTTAAAAACATTTTTTTTCTTTCTTTTTTATCCTTTTTCCTGTCCTATCCAATCAGCATGCCATCAATCATTCCCCACAAAAAGGCAGAGCCAGTCGTTGCCCCTTTCTTCCCTTTTCTTTTCTCCCTTTCATTTCTCCCTTCGGCCTCTTTCCATCTGCCTTAAAGGTTTAGGCTTTCTCTCCATCCTTTTCTTTTTTTCCTTTTTTTTGTCCCTAGAGGGGCAGAAGCGGTCAACCAACGTCAAAAATACCGTAATGCTTCTTTAAATATCCTTTCTCTATTTTATAAAAATTCTCTTCTCCTCTCCCAAAGAAAAGTGAAGTCATTTCGGCGCGACATTGGTTGGGCGCGCTTTTATATAATTTCAGAAGGAAAAATTTCTTAGCCTTGGAATTTTGGGCATTTATTAGCAACATTGTCAGCCATAATTTCTCCAAATTTCATAATTTTTGGTTTAGTATTTCAAAAGTTGTGGTCGAAAATCTAAACTTAGGGCGATTTCTTTTTTATGAAAAATAAGCAGTAGACATTTTTATGGCCACAACAGATGAACAAAAAATTTTAAAATTTGTAGGAAAGTTAGCTGATACCTTCCAAAATATTCTTACAAAGTTTCAGAATTTTATCCTATCATTTAACAACTTTACAAAATAATCAGTAACGTAAACTTGCGCAGCAAACTTCCTCCCTCATCTATCTCTCCCTCGTCAAAAAAAGCTTCCTAACTTTACTCCCAAATGAACAAAAATTCTAAAATTTTCACACAAGCAAGCTGAAACCTTCAAGAATAAACATAGAAAATTTACAACTCTAGCGTATCATTAAACAAATTTATAAAATAATTCGTAACGTACACCCACCCAGCAACTTCCTCTATGCCTTCCCTACAAAAAAAGCTTCCTAACTTTACTCCCAAATGAACAAAAATTCTAAAATTTTCACACAAGCTAGCTAACACCTTACAGAATATTCACACAAAATTTCACAACTCTATCTTATCACCAAACAAATTTATAAAATAATTCGTAACGTACACCTACCCAACAGCTTCCTCTATGCCTTCCCTACAAAAAAAGCTTCCTAACTTTACTCCCAAATGAACAAAAATTCTAAAATTTTCACACAAGTAAGCTGACACCTTCCAGAATACACACACAAAATTTCACAAGTCTATCATATCATCAAACAAAATTATAAAAAACGTATACCCAGCAGACTTCCCCCTTTTCCCCTACCTTCCCCAACTTCTCCCCCTCCAAAAAAAACTTTTCTCTCTTTACCGCCCCAAACTAATAAAATAATATAATTTTTTTACAAACAAAAATTTCCTTGCGCAAAATGCTTGCTCCTTTTTAAATACCAAAAAAAAACTTTTTTTCTCTTCTCTCTGTTGGAAGGCTGGTTATTTTTACGTGTTTTATGAGCGACACAAAAATATTCTCTCAACTTTTTTATTTCACAAAATATAACCTTTGGTTTTTGGGAAGACGAAAAAAACCCCCAAAAAAGCAACGCAAAACTAATAAAATTTTTAATAGCAAGCAAATTTTTGTTAATTGTAAAATAATAAATATTAAAAAAAAAGAAGGTAATAAACCCAATTAAAATAACGATATTTTTATGGGATCAAATGTCACCTAAAAAATTTTTTGAGGTAATTTGGTAATTCTTTTTTCGTTTTTAACCCTTAAATTTGGAAAAAAACACGAAAATTACGAAATAAATTAAATTAAAGTTTAAAAAAATAAAAAATTTTTAATGTTGGGACCAAATGTCCAAATGGGATAAAATGTCATTTATAAAAAAATCCATCAAATTATCTAAAAACTTATAAAAAATCAAGAAACACAAAAGATAAAGTTCAATTAAATCAAAGAAAAAATAAACTTTAAATGAAATTTTCAAAATTTGGGATAAAATGTCTCAAATGGGATCAAATGTCTTATTTGGGATAAAATGTCCTCTCCATTGAAAAACCCACAACGTATTGAAAATTTTTGAAAAAACTGGTTTAAAAACATGAAAATTACAAAATAAAACAAAGAAAAAATAAATCAAAGAAAATTTTTTAAGAAATGGGACCAAATGTCTCAATGGGATAAAATGTCATTTTCAACAAAAAATCAAAAAAATTTTTTTAAATTTCACCCACCACAGACTGCGGATTTTCATATTTGACAGTTTGAGGACACCCATTTGCAAATTGTTGTTTATTAGCTGCTGAATGTTCTCCAATTTGTAATAAAATATTTCCCCCACTAGTCGTTAAAGTTTTGGTGTCTGTTGTTGCTGGGGGTTGTTGTCCATTTGGATAATTTAAAAAATATTGTTGATTAAATGAGGGTTCTGGTGGATGGTCAAAACAACTTGGAGCCCCTAATAAATGATACAATAAATGTTGGGGATGTTGGAAGTTGTTTGGGGGCTGTTGTTGTTGTTTGGGATGTTGTTGGGGGTTGTTGTCCATTGAATTAAATTAGGGAAAATTTTTTGTTAATTTTTCTAAATTTTAAAGATTAAATAAACCAAAAATTAATTAAAATTATTTTTAAAGACGAGAAAAAAATTAATTTAATTAAAAAAAATTTTTTTTTGGGATAAAATGTCATCTTTACAAAAATAAAAATAAAAAATTTAATAAACGTAAGAATTCGAAAAAATAGATCAGGAAATAAACGATTTTTCGTATGGATCATCAAAATAAAGTAACATAAGGATACCTAGATTAATGAGAATAAACAATGAGACATCAAAATAAATAAACACAATGCCAAAATTTTATTTATAAAATTAAAACTCTAAAAAGATAGCTTCAAAAAGTCTTAAAAAATTTGGAAAATTTTTTATTTATGTTTTTCTAGTCGAAGCGCGATAATACATATGTATGTACGGCTGAGAACCAAACTGACCAGATAAAGGTACAAATAGAGGGATACAAGCGTAAGAAGAGACGAGCGCGCAAATAAAGGGAGGTCTAACGTGAAGAGGGTACTATCTGATATTTGATTGAAATACAGACAGCTTCAAAATTCCTTAAAATTTCTTAAAGAAATTTCAAAAAATTAAAAAAAAATTTTCCCTCAAAAAATTCAAAATTTGACGTTAACTTTAATAAATCACCCCCTACCGAACTTCCTCCCCATTTTCAACATGCCTTTCCATCAATTTAATTTCCCCCACAAATCAAAAAATATCATCATCATTATTCTTCTCCCTCCATACATTTTGATGAATTACAAGAACAATGATAAATTTAAAAAATATTTTTTTGGATAATAAATAAATAAATAAAAGTATTTCATCAATCAAAAACACCCCAAGGAAATTGATGAGATTTTGAATGATTTAATTAAATAAATATTTTGACTAAATAATTAATCATATTAAATGTTGCATAATAAAGGGAAAATAAAATTAATAAAGAAAAAAATAAGAAAAAATAATTTTTGCAAAAATTGGGATAAAATGTCTTGATGGGATAAAATGTCATTTTTTGAAAAATTTTTTTAAACCTCCAAAAAATTAAAAAAACCAGCAAGGCTGAGGATTTTTAATCTTTAACAGGTCTAAAAAATAAAAAAATATAAATGAACATAATGTCAAGAGAATTTTAAAAAAGTTTCAAGAAATTTCCAAGAGTGGGATAAAATGTCATTTTTTGAAAAAATCCAAAAAATCAGAAAAAAAATTTTAAAAACAGGCAAGACTGAGGATTTTCATACTTTAACAGTCGAAAAAGATAAAAAAATATATAAATAAACATAATGCCAAGAAAATTTTAAAAATCCCAAAAAAATCCAAAAATACGCAAAATGGTAAACTAACCAAAAAACTATTTTAAAAAAGTAAGCAACAAATTTTGACGTTTATTTCAAATAATTTTGAAGAGCATTAACTCTGAATGAGTGCCGCTGCTATACTTTTATGATTGGTTTGTGGTTGAGGGAAAGGAAAAATCAGAAAAAAATAATAAGAAGGTAGGCGGGTAAATAGCCCGTTCCAATTGATCACCACTGAAGTTTTGAAAAGTCTAGGAATGATCAAATGGGTGTGGTCTAATAAATGCCGCAATTGAGACAATAAAAGAGAAAAAATTTTTAAAAATAAAGAGGAGAAAGGTTAAGGAACGTTAAACAAAATGAGCTTATTTAGAATGAATTTGGTTGGAAAAAGGAAGAGAAGAAAGGTAATGAATGGAAAGGATTAGAAATGGCATAAATAATGGGGGCATTGAAAGGGGTTTTTGGAAGGAGATGAAAGAAGGGAAGAAAAAAATATTTTTGAAGAGAAGGAAGGTTTAAACAGATGGAGATGGGGCAGGTCAGGAAGGAGAAAAAATATTTATTTTTTAAATTAGACATGTTGGGGACGTACCTGGAGATGAACCATGTAATTTTGGAGGGGGTGAACTTGCTGAACTTGAACATAGATTTATTGAGGAAAGGACATGTTTAAATGTTTTTTACAAGAAAAAAAATATTTTATGGACCCAATAATTCAAAAGAGGATTATTTTTTTCTTCCATGGAAAAGGCAAAATACAGGCGCCAAGTACAAAAACAAAGAAAATAAAAATGATGGGCAAGCAAAAATAAATAGAAAAAATAATTTAAATATTGACCCGACACTGTCTTACTTTGAGAGGCAAAATATTTTAAAATATACGTTGAAGGTTGCGTGAGGGAAATTTTTTTGGTGTAAAATTGGGGAAACAAAAATTAAAAAAATTTTTTTTGAGGGGAAAATTAAAATGTATAGGGGCTTTATCAGGCTGTGGAGGATGTAGGCTAGAAGGTAAATAAACGAGTAAAATTAAAACGGAAATTAAATCAGAAGAAAATTAATATTTTTGGAGGTTTGTAAAATGATAAAGAAATAAGGAAAATAAATGTTAGAGAAAAAAAGAGAAAAAAAATATTTACATTATGCCAAACAAATTACAAAATGCCAATTTTTATTCAAAAATAAATATTTAAAAATATAAGGGTCTATTTAGAAGGACTGCCTCTTTATTTAAAGAAATAATTACAGCCCACTCTCAAAACTCGAAACTTCGAAAAAAATGTCGCGAAATTCGAAATTTCGAGAAAATTTCGAAATTTCTCTCGAAGTTCGAAATTTCGAGAAAATTTCGTTAAGGGTCTATTTAAAAGAAGGGTCTATTTTTTATTTAAAGAAAGAATCACAGCCCAAGCTCAAACCTCGAAACTTTAAAAAAATTTCGCGAAATTTCGACATTTTTCTCGAAATCCGAAATTTCGCGAAATTTCTTGAAATTTCGAGAAATTTTCGAAATTAGCTATTTTTGCGTATAAATTTCGTATTTTTATTAATTTCGTAAAATTTGTAAACCTCAAAAATTTTCCCGGTTTCTATAACTATTGGCACAAGGAAGGGATTAACCCTTAATATCAACATCGGTCCTCCACCCTCCCCTTCCCCAAAATTTTTACACTAGATATCTTTCCCCAATTTTTTCAAAGCTTTCCACCCCCTTTTATACAGTAATGCCACTAGGTCCAAATTTTCTTTTTTTTCCTCATTTTCCTCACTTTCTCGAATTTACCCCTTCCATTTATTTTTGCTTTTATTTCAGTCTTCCCCTTCACCGTTCAATCCTTCCCCTCCCCCCTCACTCCTTCCCTTCCCCTCCCTCCCCATCCCTCCTCTCCCCTTCCCTCCCTTCCTCCCCCATACCCCCCTCCCTCCCTTTACAATTGTCAAGGTTCTCGACAACTGTGCCTTTCCCCCAATTTTTCCTTTTACTTCATTTTCCTCCTTTTCAGCCTCCATTTTACACCAATCTCACATTCCTCATCTCAGAATCGTTTCTATCTGTTTAACTGATGAAAAACCCCAAGGGAAGGCAAAAATAGGGATTGGCCAAAAATGAAAATTTCTAAAAGAAAATTGGGGGGTTTTGGTAAAATTAAAAATTCTTTTTTAATTTTTAATATTCTCTCCTTTATTTTATGATTGCTAAAAAATTCCTAAATCTAGGAAAAAATTTTTTTTTATAAAATACATATTTATTTTTTTTCTTCAAGACTATTGGGGTAGGCGGTAAGGAACAAAGGAAAAAATTAAAAAAAAATTTTTTACACAAACAAATTTAAATAAATTACTCAATCTACATTGGTTGTAATAACTAGAAAAAATATTTGTGGATTTAGAAAAAAATAAAAAAAAAAGTTTAAGGAAAGATGTTCTGGATGGCACTCTGTTGAAGCGCCTCTGGCCGGGCAAAACTGGTGTAAAAAATAATTTTTGGAAGGAAAAAAGGAAAAATAAAATAAAAAATAATAAAAAGAAGGTAAATAGGATTAAAAAATAAATGGTCACTCTTCGAGAAAAAATTAGGAAAAAAATTTTTCCGGAAAAAATTTAAACTTGACAATATGGTGTAGTCGACGACCAGTCGTCTTTAAAATCAAATAAGTTTGGTTTAAATAGAGATAAAAATCTGGGCTTTATATCAAATGATAGAGCAGACTTTTAGCTACAAAATGAATACAAAATTAAATTTTGGTATTATTCGGATTGTTGAGATTAAGGTAAAAGACTTGCTACACCTCCAAAATATGACCAAGTTGCTTCCAAAAATTTTCAACTTTTTGTAACTTAAAGTTATATTTTCGAGTTGAATATTATCTTATAGCTTGGAATCAGCTATGTTTCGATAGAAAACCGAATTTATAGGACGATAAAAAAATTATTTTTTAAGGTTGACTAACTCGATACACGAAATCCGATCCGGAGAAAATTTTGAAATTTGAAAAATTTAAGAAAATCGGAGAAAATTTTAAAAACGACCCGACTCGAACCCTGATCCGACTTTTTTTCCCAACATGGCCCATTTCTGAACGCCAAATAAAAATCTAGAAAAATCAAAAGAACCAAGAGAAACTCAAGAGAAATCAGGAAAAATCAAGAGAACCAAGAGATGAAATAAGTAACTATAGAAAATTATTAAAATAAAAGAAGGTCATAATAAATAGTAAAATTAGGCAATAAATAAAATATTAAATTAATAATAACTAAAATTTATTAAAAAAATAAATCTCTCTAAATATAATCATAAATATGTGCCCAATAATTATTATGCGAGGAGAGAGGAGTCGACTATTAAAGTAAAAGTTACTTAATTTTTCTGATCAGTAAGTTAGATTAGGAAAAAATAATAATTATTGAGAGAGGATATATCTAGATTTTTAATTTCTTATTTTAAATTATTTTTTTTGGATATTCTCTTAATAGAAAGTTTTTTCTTTTGGAGGAGTTGCGCAGAGCTCCTTTCTCTCTCCCTTATGATACTCCTTGGGGAACAGGAGTAGAATTATCGAAAAAAAATTATAAAAATGAAGAGATGGGACCCTAATCTGATCTAATATTCTGATTTTTTTAAATATTTTACTAATGAGCAAAAATAAAAAAAATAAATTATGGCAAATAAATTTTGGCAAAATTAAATTTTGGGTGAAAAGAAAAATGAGGGTACTTCCCTCTAGTTTGTGGCCGAGAGTTAAGACTTATTATGAAGGAGGGATTTAATACATATATATACCTATTAATATAGCCACAAGAAAATTTAGTGAATTGAGGAACCCTTGAGGAACTCCAATTAAGGAACCCTTTGAGATTCAAACACTATGAGAGGTGCCAAAAATTTTTTGTAGCTAACAGAAGTCAAGTTCAATTTAAAAAAATAATGTTAATAAAAATAAAATTTTTTTAAATTTTTTTAAAAACAAATAACGGGTTTTTTGGTAGCTATAAGTTAGGAAGGATGAGTAAAAACATTGGAAGTGAAAGAAAAAATGAGGGAAAAGAAAATAGGAGGGGGAGAGGAAGAAGAAGGTTTGTTTTGAAGGATTAAATATTTTTTTATCTGGTAGCCAAATCTCTAATAGAAGAAAATCTAGGAAATCTGTGAAAAATCTTTTGGGAGGAGAAAGGGGTTGGGGATGGGAAAAAGTTGAAAAAGTTATGATAATTGGTAGTGTATTGGGGGAGGTTATTTATTTTCAGAGGGAACTTAATTGTAATTAATTGTAAAAAGAATTGTAATTTGCAACCTTAATTGTAATTTTAATCAAGTTGGAATTAATAATTGTAAATTTTACACTTATTTGTAATTTAAAACTTATTTTGCAACCTTACTTGTAATTGTAAACTTGAAAGCTTATTTTAAGCTAGAACTTAATTTCCAACATAATTTACAATTGTAAACTTAATTTAAAACTTGATTATAATTTCCAACTTAATTTCCAACTTAATTTACAATTGTAAAAATAATTGTAAATTACAACTTATTTTGCAACCTTAATTGTAATTTTAATCAAGTTGGAATTAATAATTGTAATTTTACTCTTAATTATAATTTAAAACTTGTTTTACAATTGTAAACTTAAATTAAAACTTGATTATAATTTCCAACTTAATTTACAATTTAATTTACAATTGTAAACCTAATTGTGAATTACAACTTATTTTGCAAACTTAATTGTAATTTTTTACTCGTAATTAAAACTTTACAACTTTAATTGCAATTACAATTATATTTAATCCTCTCTTTCTTATCCAATCTCCTCTTTCTTATCCAGTTGTTAAGGATTTCCAAAACCCTTCCCTCTAAATGATATGGACTGTTATTTGCAAAACGATCAAAATTCCTTGATTTTTATGAATCCTTGGGTCAAAATAAATAAATACTTTGATCCAGGGCTCTCATCGACAAAATACCACTCAAAAGTATCAAAATCTCGATAAAAAAGTATATAGGGAGAAAATTTGCGAAAAAAAAGTAGTCTCAAAATTAAATTAGAAAATATTTATTCGTCCTCAAATCTTTCATATTTTTCTCCTAAATTAATCTTTTCTAATAATTTCTTGTTTCAACTGAGCATTTTGCCAATTTCAATGTATTTTTTTTGGGGCCGAAGGCGCCAAAAAATTTATTTTTTGCGCCGCAGGCGAAAATTTTGAGAATTTTGGAGGTCCTTAAGCCAGATTTCTTCCATTTTTTGCGCCGCAGGCGAAAATTTTGAGAATTTTGGAGGTCCTTAAGCCAGATTTCTTCCATTTTTTGCGCCGCAGGCGAAAATTTTGAAAATTTTGGAGGCCGTAAGCCAGAAAATTCACTTTTTCGCCCAATCCCTTCCCCAATTTCATTTTCAATCAAAAAAAAGTATATACTTTCAAAAAAGTATAAATTCAATTTCGTAAGTAGGGAGGTCGATTTAAAAGTAGAATACTTTTAAAAAAGTATAAATGAGAGCCCTGCTTTGATCTACTCGAAATCCTTCAGTATGTTTTAGAGCACTGGGTCTGGGAAAACTTTTGGTATAGGGACTGGATCTATAAGTAGAATTCATCCCCTGATTATAAGGCTAAAGTGATGCAATGGTGTAATTTATGGTGTAATTTTTGGTGTAATTTTTTCCCATTTCTGAACGAGTGATTGTCGGAGTGACTCCAAACTTTGGGGTTATTAAGCAAAGAACTTTGCCTCCAAAATTGACCAAAAACATAAATCCACGGATTCAAACCCGGTGTGTACGGTAGCCATTTTTGAGGCACACTAAAACCGAGAAAATTGGAAACAAGACAACCTTGCATCACTTTAGCCTTATAATCAGGGGATGAATTCTACTTATAGATCCAGTCCCTATACCAAAAGTTTTCCCAGACCCAGTGCTCTAAAACATACTGAAGGATTTCGAGTAGATCAAAGTATTTATTTATTTTGACCCAAGGATTCATAAAAATCAAGGAATTTTGATCGTTTTGCAAATAACAGTCCATATCATTTAGAGGGAAGGGTTTTGGAAATCCTTAACAACTGGATAAGAAAGAGGAGATTTTGAGGCCCAATATCAGTCATTTTTGCGATTCGCACATGTCTCTTTCATAAAAATTTTGGCATCTGAAAAGAGGAATCAAGGAGGTGCGGCAATTTTGCAAAAATTTTTGCTTGCGTCTGCGCCTCTATCTTAAAGCTAAAGGAAGGTATTTTGAAAAATCCTGATTGATTTTGTTCTACATTTAATTCTCTATTATTTAATTGTATTTTGATATTATTTGATTAAGTTTTAATAAAGTTATGCTAAAAAATGTGCGGGCAAAGACTTTTGAGGCACCCTGTAATGCTTTGAATTTAGACGCGGCAAAATATTAGAAATAAATAAAAATATTTTTTTTTCAAAAATTAATTTAAAATAGTACAATTCAACTCCTTATTTTCGTAGATTTTGAATTAGCGGAGAATAGATCATTAAATTCTGTATTTCCTAAAAAAATAATTTTCTTGAAATAAATATCCTTATATTAAAACAAAGAAGTAACCAAAATATAATGGAAACGATTGTTTGTCATTTCCCTTATTTTATTTTTCCTATATTTTTTTTCTCGATTTTTCGGCATTTTTAAAAAATATTTTATTTAAAGTATTTATTTCCTCAACTTGTTAACCTTCTTCCCTTTTTTGTAATTTTTATAAAGCATTCTCCTTTATTTGGCATTTAATATATAAACAATTTATTTTTAAGTACCTTTAAAAATTAAAAAAATAAATAAAATATTAATATCCAATTTCATTTTTCTTTTATTGCGCAAGAAAAAAATACAAAAGAGCGGTAATTGAAAGAAACTGAAGCAATTGTAAAACTTTAGAGAAAATAAAACTTAAATTTTTAAATAAACATTTTGTAAAAAAAGTTGAATTATTAAGTTTAAGATTGCGAAAATAAAACTTGCAGAGAAAAAGTTTTACAAATTGTAAAACTTTTTTAAGTTTGTAAAATTAAAATAAAACTTGAATGAATAAATAAACTTGTAAAGGTTTGTAAAAACATCAAATTTGTAAGAGAGAAAAACAGAACTTTAAAGTTGTAAAACATTTTAAGTTTGTAAATTAAAATAAATCTTAATATAAGTAAAAACTTGTTGAGAATAAATAAGTTTGTTAAGTTTGTAAAACTTTTTATATTTTGTAAAACTTAAGTTTTAAGAAAATAAAACTTGAAGTCGATGTTTTTATATATTTAAATTTTTCTATTGAGTATTTTAACAAAAAATGTTTAAAAAAAACAAGTACATTCAAATTTAATTAAAACTTGACGTTGATTGATATAACTCTTAAATTAAGTCGGTAAACTTAAGTTTGCAACAAATACATACTTTTCTATATTTTTTAATTCTTAAACAAGCCATGCTTCAAGGCCATAAATAAATTTTTTATTATATTAATATTCATCCGTTTCTTGGATTATCTACTTAATAATTTTCTTTATTATTCAAAAAAGGATAATCCAATTTTCTTTTATTATTGTGAACAATTCTTTTTTTAATTCCAAGGATTTTTTATATTTAAATTTTTTTGTATAATATTGTTTTTAAATAATTTTAATATTTTTTTCAATTTTTTTACAAAATTTTATTTTTTTTAATAAAAAATATTTTCTTTTATTCCTTTCAATATTAAAAAGAATTTCTAAATAGGGCAACTAAAAGTGCTAAAAATTTGTTGCTATTAGTTACAATAAACGTGCAGCCATTTTCTACTCTCGTTTTATTGACAGCCTATTATAAACATCTCTTAGATGTTTAAGTGAATTAATAATCGTTAGGACAAACTTGAAATTCTTACAAACTTGAAATTAAAAAAATTTTTCAAGTTTATTTATTTTTATTTATTTTAGTTTATTAAAATAAACTTAAGTTAATACAAGTTTATTATAATAAACTTGGCCAAGTTTTTAAAGCAAACTTAAGTTTATAAACTTAAGTTCATTAAAACTTGACCAAGTTTATTTTAAGGCAAACTTAAGTTTATGAAACTTAAGTTTATTAAAACCTGACCAAGTTTATTTAAACAAACTTAAGTTTGTTAATTTAAATTGACCAAACAAGTTTATTAAAGAAACTTAAGTTCACTAAAGCTTAATAAAATAAACTTAAGTTTGTTGTGCTCAACTTTACAAGAATTTAAGTTGCATTATTAATACCTGAAACAAAGTTTACAATTACACTTACAACAAAAATAAATAATGGTTGTAGAGGACGAAAACATGCAAGCTTCATCTTCTGGAGAGCTACTCTTTACTGCCTTAGATGAGGGCAACTTATCTGAAGCAAACTCTATACTTGATAAAAAGCCTGTTAGTTAAACAATATATCAGGGATATTTTTAATAATTGAAAAATTATTATTTTTTTATTTTCAAGGAAAGTGTAGCAGCTAGGGACAATGAATTACGAGTAAGAAAAATATTTTTAAAAATTTTTATTATAAATTATTTTGAGGTACCTTTGCATTATGCTGCAGATTGTGCAGATATTGCCACCTTCCAACGAATTTTTAGTTTGTAATTTTTAATCTTTTTATTAAATAAAAATATTAAAAATTATTTTCTTTGAAGCATTGGAGCGTTCCTTAATGGATGCACAAGACCAATTTGGATTCACTCCCCTACTTGTAGCAGCGATGGCAGGGAACGTTTCTGTACTTGAATTTTTAATAGAACAAGTAAATTTAAAAATATTTATTAAATAATTATTTTTATTTAAGGGCGCTCAATTAGGACAGTTAGATAGGGATGGACACTCTGCAGTACATTGGGCTGTTGTTTGTGGACAAGTAAGAATATTAAAATATAAAATAAACTTGCTTCACAATTAATTAATACCGCCCAATAATTAAAACTTAAGCAAAACTAAAACTTAAAAAGTTGAGATCAAGCTTGGAAAATAATAAAACTTGGATTTTTACGACTTGAATTTTATTAATTGTAAAACTTGAATTAAGTTCAAAATTTGAAATTAAACTTGAATTAAATGTAAAACTTGGATTTTACAAACTTGAATATTATAAAGTGTAAAACTTGAATTATTAATAAAATCTGGATTTTACAAACTTGAAGCAAAATTAAAACTTAACTAATTAAAGTTGGACGTTCTAATAGCATTGCTTCGCCATGGTTCTCCACTAGCTCTAGCGGACATTCACGGAGCTCATCCACTGCATTATGCCACAGTAGGATTCACCGAAACAGAAAGTCATCGTGAAGTGCCCGTAGAACGCTCAGAAGCCATTTTGCACGTTCTTTTGAGGCATGGTGCCCAATTAGAATGTACTGACCTGGATGGGCGAACACCTTTAATTTGGGCTGCTAGTGGGGGTTTGTAAGAAAAATTGTTTTAAAATATTCTTAATAAAATTTCAAGGCAATCTACGAGCTTTTAGCAGTTTAATCCAAGCGGGAGCCAATCGTTTCACTGCTGATAGGGATAAACTGGGAGTTTTGCACTGTGCTTCAAGTCATGGTCATTTACCTATAGTTCAAGCAATGTTAGATCTTGGCCATCATTGGGTGGTTAATGCTAGGGATAGAAACGGCGATACACCCCTTTTCTTTGCTGCAGCTTATGGTCACCTTGAATGTGTTAAATTGTTGTTGGAAAGAGGCGCAGATCCAAACCATCAGGACAGACGTATTAGAACTGCAGCGCACTGTGCGGCAGCTAAGGCACAGCTTAGAGTACTTAAACTTTTGAGACAAAGAGGTGCTAGTTTGGATTTGCAAAATTATAGAGGGGATTTGCTTTTTCATGAAGCTGTGCAAGTTGGAAGTAAAGGTGGGGGAGATTGCTACTTAAAATATGTTTCAAGTTTAATTATAAAATTGTGTTTAAATTAATTGTGAAACAGGCGGAATTATAGAAAATTAATTTTAAAACTGGCGGAATTATGAAAAATTAATTGTAAAACAGGCGGAATTGATATTAAAGAATTGTAAATTTTACAATTGTAATTTACAAAATTAACTTAAGAATGTGTTGATTGGATGTTAGGCATTGAACCTCGTTTTGTTAGCTCTGCAAACTTTTTTGGGAGAACAGCATTACATTTAGCTGCAGCCAGTGGAAATATGGAAATGGTTGTTCTTCTGTGTTCGAAAGATGCTCCTCCAAATTCTCTTATGATTTATAAGGTTAAATTGAAAGAATTCTTGGAAAGAATGAAAAAAAATTTTTAAGGGAGAACTACTAACACCTTTGGACGTTGCTAAACGTCGAGGACACGATCTTATAGTAGACTATTTAACTGTAAGGTACGAGGCCTGTTTGGCTTCTGAACTTTCCACAAGAGAACTAAATTCTTCTAGACAAAGTATCGAAGAGCAAATAAAAGCGGGTAGATGAAAAAACTTTTTTAAAGCTTCAATTTAATTTTTAGCCCGTCTTCGCAAAGTTAGGGCGGAATTAACAAATAGTGATGAATTGGGTAATTATGAAAAGCAACCCCCGCCTATAAGACGTGGAATTTCGTTGCTAACTAGAGCGGCTCAAAAGTTGAATGATGAAAGTGGGGGAAGAGGAGAGATGGTAGATGCTAGTACAATGGTTTCTGTGAGTTTGCAAAAATTATTTTTAAATTTGTAAAATTTGTTTGTGAATTCCCAGTTTATTTTTAAGTTTATTTGCTAAAACCTTTAAAATTACAAATTGTAAAAAGTTTACAATCAGTAAAACCTTTACAATTAAACAAACTTATTTTCAAGCCTATTTTAAGTTCAGTCTTAAATTCATTTCTAAGTTTATTTTTAAGTTTATTTTTAAGTTTATTTAATAAAACTTTACAATTACAAATTGTAAAAAGTTTACAAGCAGTAAAAACCTTACAATTAAACAAACTTATTTTAAAGCGTATTTTTGTTTATTTTTAAGCTCAGTCTTAAGTTTATTTTTAAAGTTTATTTTCAATATTATTTTTAAGTTTGATCTTAATTTTATTTCTAAGTTTATTTTTAAGTTCATTCTTAAGTTTAAGTTTGGTCAAGTTTATTTTTAGGTTCAACCTAAGTTTATTTTTAAAGTTTATTCTAAGTTTATTTTTAAGCCTAGTCTTAAGTTTATTTCTATATCCAAGTAGGTATAATAAACTTATTTTGAAGCGCCGCTCATCCTCTGCTTCCGCAATCTTTGGCAAACTTCCAAAATCAACTAGCACCACCGACCTTAACAACCACAGCATTGAACAATTTTATCAACAACAAAAAGCTTTGATAGATTTAGCTATGGCTACAACAAATAAATTACCAAATGAAGGAAGGAAGGAAAATGAAAATGAAAAAGAAAAAGAAGCAGATAATCTAGATGCTTCTACCAATACTTTGTTAGTTCATGACTTTTCTAATGCTTCATCTATTTCTGCTTTACAACAGCCTTTAGAAAAGGAGTTGCTACACCAAAATAACGCGTATGTATATTTCAAGTTTATTTTACTTAAGTTTATTGTTTTCAAGTTCATTTAAGTATAGGCATATTTTTAAGTTTTTTATATTCCAAGTTTTAAGCTTATGCTTAAGTTTTAGGTTTAATTTTTGTAACTTAAGTTTATTTTATATTCCAAGTTTATTTTTCAAGTTTATTTTTTTTCAAACTTATTTTCTCATGTTTATTTTATTTATTGCAAGCTTATTTTATGTTCTAAATTTCAAGTTTAATTTTTATAATCTCAAGCTTAGTCTTTCTATTTCAAGTTTATTTTTTATATTTAGTTCGCCTGTAATAAATACAGAAGGTGAGCATGCTGAAAGTGTTAGACATTCACCTAAAACATTATCGGATAGAGAAATTGGTTTGAATTATTTTTTAGACAAACATTCATAAAAATTAAATTAGGATTTCCCTCAGCTTCTTCCAAAAAAGTTCGTTTGGCAGTAAATAGTGATTTATTACTACCTGACGATAGTTATGAAGATAAACCTAAAAGAATTCGTCGTAAATGGACACCTTTACCTCCATCAGATTACAGGCATCAATCATTAGATGAAGCAGTTACAGAGTTGCATATTCTTGAGGATGGGCTTTCACCGCCTCCGGGACGTCTAGCTACGTTTGGAGGTGAGAATTATTTTCAAGTTTATAAAAAAGTTTATTTTTTATATTTATATTCAAGTTTATTTTTACTCTTAAGTTTGTATTTAAGGTTTATTTTAGACTAGTTCAAGTTTATTTTATACTCTAATTAAGTTTGTAGTATTTCAAGTTTATTTTATAATCAAAGTTTATTTTTTTTTATATTCCAAGTTTAATTTTATATTCAAGTTTAATCTTGAGTATTTAAAGTTTATTTTTTATATTTAAAGTTTATTTTAATATATTCAAGTTCAATCTTGATATTCCAAGTTTATTTCCATATTCCAAGTTTATTTTATTTTAAGTTTAATCTTAAATATTCCAAGTTTATTTTTTCTATTTAAGTTTACTCTCATAATTTTTAGATTTAGCCAACTCCACTACTCGTTATGTTCACGAACGCGCTATTTTCGACGAATTAACACACTTAAAAAGAATGCAGATACAATACGGAAAGGTTCGAGAAGAAGTATTGGTACGTTCCCTAGTCCAAAACTTTTGTCGAATGCATGCAATACACCCCGCCCATTTCCGGCGTATTTCTACATTACAACAATGGGAGAAATTTTTATACGGTGAGGAAATTGATAATTAAGTAAAAAATAAATTTTTCTTCTGTGGAGATTGCCTTTCAGATCAACTAAAAATGATTTATTTGGAAGAAAGAGAACGTTTAACGGCTGCAGCTACTTTGGCAGCGCAGAAAGCTGCTAGCGCTGCAGGTATGCGTCCAGCTGCGGCACTCTACTCTGCTCAACAACGAGTATTTGTCAAAGCAAATAATCGGAATGGGTTGGGGTTAAGGTTTGGAAATGAAAAAATTTTGAGAATTTTATTAATTTTTTAGTGGAGGAAGAAGAAGAAATACTAATAATGGGCACAATTTGCCTAGTGTGGGCATTCCTCGCGTTCTTCCTAGAACGAATCCCTTGGATCAACGGCTTCAAGAGTTGGGGCGAATTTATAGTGGAAGGTATAAGAGTATGCTAGATTCTTTTCAATAGGCGCAAACTTGATTTTGAGCTCAGACTTGATTTTTAGTAGTTGAGATTACTAAAAAGTTGCAACTTTTTCGTGTAATTTAAAACTTGAAGCAAGTTTGTAAAAACTTGAAGCATTTACAAACTTGTTTTCTGCTAAACAAGTTTTACAAATACAAAAGTTTACTCAAGTGTAAGTCTGAGATTTCAAGTTTATTTTCAAGTTTGATCTCAAGTTTTATTTTTCGTAATAACCAAAGTTTTAATATTTTAGTACCAAAAGCCGAAACAATTCTGCTATATCAGACGCAGCAGTTGCAGCAACAAATACAATAACTAGTGAAGCTTCTGCTAATGCAGAATTTCAAAAGAAAAAATATCAAAATCGAAATAATTCCTCAAAATCTCAACAGAAATTAAGCAATAACAAATCAGAAGCAGATTTGCTGTCAAGAAGTGGGGGAAGTGAAGAAAAGAAACTTGTAGAAGGGGAGAAGCACAGAAGATGTGAATGTTTAAATAAAGAATAAAAATACCTATTTATTTTTTAGAAAAATATTTTTAAAAATTTTTTCGATATCTTTTTGTTAGTCAACTTAGAGTTTTTATTCAATTTCTAAAATTAAAATTTTTAAATAAACATTTCTGTAATTTACTTAAAACGAAAAATAATATATTTACTTAAGTTTACAAACTTTTAAGTTTATGCTAGAAAATATTAAACTTGAAAAATAAAACTTTTTACAAACTTAAGTTTCAAGTTGATTTTTATTTTAATTCAAGTTTATTTTTTAATTCAAGTTGTCCAGCCAAGTTTATTTTCAAGCAAAGCGTAAACTTGACTAAAACTTGCAACATTTACAAACTTGTTTGGAGTTACAATTTTTTAATTCAAGTTTATTTTTTAAGCTAAGTTTATTTATTTGTAGTCAAGTTTATTTCTGTTGTTTTAAGTTTGCGAACAAATTAAAACTTTAAACATTTACAAACTTGCTATAATTTTGTATTTATTTTTACTGCAAAAATCTTGCTTCTTTAAATCTTTTTCAAAATTCAAAAACAATAATCCCCTAATTTATTGTTTTTTAAAAAATAATAAATTTATTGGACTGCCAAAAGAAGAAAAAGACGGATGACTGACGGCATTTGCATCCTCAAAGCTTTTATCCCCTTTCTCCCTCCAATTGTTTCCTTTCCAAACAATGGCCAATCGATGGGTTTAGTATATAGCTACACTGCCAATATTGTCGCAAACAGAATTATGGCCAAAATTGAATTAAACAAATGAAAAGTTGATAAAAAAGGAAAATTGTTATTTACCCATTTTGAAGGTTCTATTTTTAAATTTCAAATGTTTCAAGTTTGCGCTTAAAAAGTTTTTAAACTTTGCAAAAACAAACTTTAAATAACATTAAATTGTATTGAAAAATAATGACTGACGTTGCGTTGCTTAAATAATTCAACTAATATATGGACATAATAAATCATGGTATTTTACTTTATACGTCGAGTTATTTTCTTTATTTTTTAAATTTATTTTGTTTTTATGGCTTCCTTAAAAAATTACATGAAATTTTTATGCCTCATAAAATATCTTTGTTAATAGATTTATAAGTAATTTTAAGTCTACAAACTTTTTTGAGCGCAAACTTGAGAAAATGTTTTATAAAAAATTACAATTTTTTTGCAACTTTGTTTTGCAACTTAAAACTTGAACCAATTACAAACTTGCTTTTCGATCTTAAAACTTATTTTCTTTTAAACAAGTTTATTTCAAGTTTTATTTTGAAGTTTAAACTTGGCTTAAAAAATAAACTTGAATTTTAAAAAAAGTTGTAACTCAAAACTTAAGTTTGTAAAAAGTTCTATTTATTAAGTTTTATTTTTAAGTTTTATTTTTTAAGTTTTACAAATTCAAGTTTTACAAATTCAAGTTTAATTTAATGTTTATTTAAAATTCAAGTTTTATTTTTAAGTTTGTACTCTTATCCATTAAAAAATAAAATATTCAAGTTTTCCCCATATTTTATCCATAATTTTATTCCTTATTTTTATGCTCTTGTCTTTCTTGGCAAGCTTTTTCTTTTATACATTAAGCATCGATTTTGTCATGAAATACCCCCCAATTTGCGTCTATATATTAAATATATTCCCGAAAAATTTTTTTAGTTATTTATTCTTTTGAGAATAATAAAAAAAGAAAATGAATGAAATATTGCTAGCAAAAAATTACGTGAAAAAATTTTTTAATGAAAATAATTTTTATTTTTTAAGAAATTAATTGTTATGATTTTATTTTTTATTTAAAAAATTTTATTTAATAAATGGACCCATATGAAGGCCCTTCACATAAGGAGGAGAAACAATTCGACGTCCATGGTGGCAGAAATGCCTTCAGGTTGAATAATTTTTGACTTAAATTTAAATAAATAATTTTAAAATAGAAGGCAGATATCAGAAAGAGCTTCGCAAATGATGGGAAAACAAATAGGTAATTAAACTTGAAATAGGTATTTAAAAATAAACTTGAAAAAGATTGAATTGTAAATTCAAGTTTGTAATTGTAAAAATAAACTTAAAATGAATAAAAAATTTTAAGCTCAAGTTTATTTATTTTTAAGTTTGCAGTCAAGTTTTTATTTTTTACGATCTCAAGTTTATTTATTTAAACTTGAATTAAATAAAAATAAACTTTAAACAAATAAACCTGAGATTGTAAAAAAATTAAAAAATAAACTTGAATTGTAAACTTAAAAAAATAAACCTGAACTTGAAAATAAAAAAAAACTTGAATTAAAAAAATAAACTTGAATTGTAAACTTGAGAATATATAAACTTAAATTTAAAAAAAAATAAACTTGAAGCATAATAAATATTTTTAAATTTTCATAAAAAATTTAAAACTGAAGGAAGAAAGGAGAAAAAAAATTTTTTGTCAAAACAATACATTCTTTCAAGTCTATAAAACAAAAAAATAAAAACATTTCAAGCTAAATGCCCGTTTGCTCATTTTGCCATTTAAGTACACCCAATTCCCATAGGCCATCTCGCTTTAACTAGAAGCAAGTCTTTTTCTGCCTTTTTATAATTTTGTTGTTAAATATATCCACACTTGACAGAATTGTATAGTGGAATAAGAAAAATTTTGCTTTTTACGTAAAAATTTATTTTATCGAATTTCAACACCTTTTGACCCTAATTCTCTATAATTCAAGGTGGAATATTTTATTCAAGTTTAATTAAATTAAAGTTTAATTAAATTACAATTGATCAAAAATAAACTTGTTTTTTTATAATTCAAGTTTATTAATAAAAATAAACCTGAAATAAAATAAACTTGAAGCAATTACAATTCAACAGGGCTGTGCGCCAAAATTTTCGCGTGGCGCGCCAAACGCCAAACGCCAATTTTTTAAATTTTAAAAACACGCCAAACGCCAAACGCCAAAAATCGGCCAAAATCAACGCCAAAACGCCAAACGCCAAACGCCAAAATTTTTAGAGTCTATAAAGACTTAAAAATCACTGTTCATCTCACTTTAGCGCCGCAGGCGAAATTTTTTTAATTTTCAAGATTCCTAGAAGCCAGATTCATCCTTTTTTTAACGCCTGAGTGAAATTTTTGAGATTTTTGGAGGCAAAAAAGCCGAAATTCATCCTTTAAAAAATTTTAAAAGATAAGAAATTCATAGAACTCCTTGAGATTAAGGTGGATATGAAGGGATAAAGGGAGTAATGAGTATAACAGAGGTCATGAAGAGAGTAAACGATTAACGGGACTAAAGTTTTTTTCTACCATCTATTAGTTTAAGATAAGGACTTCCTCCTTTAAGCGCCGCAGGCGAAAATTTTGAAAATTTTGGAAGTCCAAGCAGCATATTTCTTCATTTTTTATGCGCCGCAGGCGAAAATTTTGAGAATTTTGGATGACTGTACGCAGAAAAATTTCCTTTTTCGATCATCCCTTTCTCTATTTATTTTAAAAAAATTCCATCATTAGGGGTGTATATTTTTGGCGTTTGGCGCGCCAAAATCGGAAAATCACGCCAAACGCAAAACGCCAAAAATCGGCCAAAATTAACGCCAAAACGCAAAACGCCAAACGCCAAACGCCATGACGCACAGCCCTGCAATTCAAGTTTATATAATTTACAATTAATTAATTCAAGTTTATTTAAATTACAGTTGTAAAAAAACAAATACTAAGATTACAATTCTTACTTTTACAATTCAAGCTTATTATAATAAAATAAACTTGACCACAAAAATAAACTTGAAATAAAATAAACTCAATTCAAGTTTATTTATTTTACAATTTAATTCAAGTTTATTTTCTCTAGAATTAATGGATGTTGACGAATTGAGAAGGCAACAATTTGCTATTAAAAGTTTTACTGAATCTGTTGAGGAGGATTTAGATGAAGACTGGCAAAGACGGCATTTTACTACAACTAGAGGCGAAATTGATAGTGGAATGAAAGAAAGCAGTACAGATGAAACAATTATTGAAGTTGTAAGGATTTAATTAAGCTTGTTTTTAGTTCTTAAGTTTTTAAGTTTACAAATTCAGGTTTTAATATTTTTAAGTTTGAACTTGTTTTCTAGTTCTGCAAATTCAAGTTTAAACTTGCTCAAGTTTTATTGTTTCCAAGTTTAATTTTTTCAAATAATTGAAACTTGCTTCAAGTTTATTTAATTTTGTTTTTCTTTGTAGACTCGTCGTGTTGACCCAACAAAAGGTGAAACACAAAAATATACAATGCGTGTATCGGGCCCAGAAGTTTGAAATATTTTATTAATTTAAAATTAAAATTTAATTAAGTTAGTAGATCAAGAATTTGAGCTTCATAAGAGCCTAATTCACAGTGCTAGTGGGGGCGAGTTTGTAGAGGATGAGGAAGAAGCACAGACTTCAAATTGTAAGTGATAATTGAGGCTTATAGAAATTAATAAAGTAAAAATGAAGCAAAAAGTAAAGCTGAAGCAAAATTAAAAATTAATAGAGACTGAAACATAAAAATGAAAACATGAAGCAAAACCTAAACTTGAAGCAAATTAAAATTTCATTATTTTTCCTCAATTTTTTTTAGCTATCTTCACCCTTCCATCAACAACACATGACATAGTACCCACAAAAAAATTTGTTAAAAAGTCATCATCGACTGTTGTTCGAGGAAAGGAAGAAGAAGCCTGCGCAAGCTATTTTAAATCTGCGTCGGTAAGGGAAAATATATTGGCATTTAAGTAAATAGAAAGAGAGAAAAATTTTAACGAGATATATTTTTTATAATGGAGAAAGGGATTAAAAACATGATTAACGTTTGGATGAGGACTCATTTAAAATATTTTAACATATATTTATTTAACTACATATATTCTCTCTCCCTTAAAATTTTTGAGATTCGTACAACTTTTTTCAAGTTCACAATTGTTTCAAGTTTAATTATTTTTAAGATCAATCTTAAACTTTCAAGTTTAATTATTTTAAGCTCAAACTTAAACTTTCAGGTTTTACTATTTTTAAGCTCAAGCTTAAACTTTCAAGTTTAATTTATTTAAAACAATTAAAACTTGTTTAAAGCTTTACAACTTTTTTCAAGTTTTAATATTTTCAAGCTTAAACTTAAAATTTTTTCAAGTTTAATTACCTTGAAACAATTAAAACTTGTTTCAAGTTTACTCAAGTTTTTAATTTGTAGCTTAAAGCAAAATTACAAAAATACAATAATCTTTTATTTTACTATTTTTAAGATGAGTACTAGACCACGTTCCTCCACTACAACTGAAGAATATCCCGCTGGCACCAGTTTCGCTCCTCGACCAAGAAATTCTTCTCCAAGGCCCAGACTTTCTCTTACACCCAACACAACTTTAGAAATTGAAACAACAAAATTAGAACCAACAAATGATTCTTTTGCTAATATTGAAAAAATAAAAGTTGTGTTACCCCCAAAGTGCAAAAGTAGGGAAATAAATTTTTGATTAAATTTTTAATAATTTTTAAGATTTAAAATCTTCTCAAAGGCGATATTCAACTGGGCCGGAAGAATTAAATTGTCGAAGCCCTACAATGGTAAAAGTTTCTTATCGCAAAAAAATAAACTTGAAATATAAATAAACTTGAAACTTTTACAAATTCAACTTTATTTACTTTACAATTAATTAATTCAAGTTTATTAAATAGAATTATAAATAGAAAAATAAACTTAAATTTAAGTCTACAATTCAAGTTTATTTTTAAGATAAATTAAAGTTTAATATTTAATGAAATACAAGCCTAAAAATAAACTTGAATTTCAAGTTTACAATTCAAGTTTATTTAATTTACAATTATTAATTCAAGTTTATTAAATAGAAAAATAAACTTGTATTTCAAGTTTACAATTCAAGTTTATTTATTACAATTGCTTCAAGTTTATTAACAAGATTACAAAAATAAACTTGAAACTTTTACAAATTCAAGTTTATTTAATTTACAATTAAACTTTGGTTTAAATTGAACTTAGACTCGACTTCGTTGTGATTCTACTGCCGCCGCTTATCATTATCATCAACCTGGAGAGGATATAATCGAATCAAACCCTGAATATGCCCGTAAAGCACCTAAAAAGCCGGTAGTTCATAGAAGACAAAGTCGGGGTGACGACTGGGAAAATTTTCCTGAGGAAGAACAACAGCAAGGACAGTCCCTCGGTGATACAGAAGATGAGTCTGTTGCTACAGAAAACTTGGGTGGGGATTTTTAAATAAAATTTAATAAAATTGCAACGAGAATCAATGAAAATTACATTCAATTTTCTTTATTTTTTCCTTTATTTTTCCCTTTCTTTCCTCGTGTTAACAAGCAAAATGCTACATATTAACGTGGCATTTGCTGCCAACCGGTTAAATCAATATATAACAGTGAATTTACATAAAGCTTGCTTTAAGTTATGTTAATGCTTAATTTATATTTTCTAATTTAAAATACATAAGTTGAAACAGAAACAAGAAACACGACTAGAATAATAAATGAAACAAACTTAAGTTTACTAAAAAATAAACTTAAGTTTACAAACATATATAAAATTATTCCAAGTTTATTTATATGCTTATTTTCAAGTTTATTTTTATACCTTCTATGCTCAAGTTTATTTTAATACATATATTCAAGTTTATTTTTATTCTTAGTATTTAAGTTTATTTATACGCTTATCTTCAAGTTTATTTTTATACCTAGTATTCAAGTTTATCATATTCAGGTTTATTATACTCAAGTTGATTTTTATATTCAACTTACATATATTTAATTAAACTTGCTTCAAGTTTAATTAATTTAAAGTTTTATTTCATCATAATTACTAATATTAAAAATACAATTTAAATGCTTAAAAATATACCTATATTTCAGAAGCACAATTTCCCTCTTATAATAAATATAACAATAAAATTCATAAAATTTTTCTACCGGCTGGCAATAAAAAGCCTTTTCCAATATAATCAATCTTGCCTCTTTTTTCATGCCTAACTCCTTTACATATTTACTCTCCCATATAGGAAAGTCTGAGTTTTTTGCTACTCACAATGGGAGAGTGTTTCTTGCTTTTTCCCTTATAAACATGAAAATTTAAGTATTCCTTTACTTTTCTTTTTTTTCAAAAAGCTTCCGTTAAAATGAGCACAGTGTGACGAAATTTTAGTGACGGCATTTCTCTTTTGCTTCAAATTTTTTTTATATTTTTTCCTTCCTAAAATCTACCTTTATTTATAGGATTAGTTAAAGGATTTTTTTGTTTTTGCTTCAACTTTAATTATAATACTACTTATTATTAAACTTGTTTCAGTTTATTTTAAATTTGTTGCATTTAAGTTTGTAATTGCTTCAAGTTTTCTCTTTCATTTAAAACTTGTTTCAAGTTTATTTAAACTTGCTTCAAGTTTATTTTCTCTCTTATTAATATAAACTTGTTGCAAGTTTATTTTAAAATTACTTAATTTATTTGCTTCAAGTTTTCCTTTCTCATTTAAAACTTGCTTCAAATTTATTTTAATCTTGCTTCTTTAAAAGTACTTGCTCAAAGTTTAATTAAATTATCACTATATTTTTAAACAGAATTAGCAAAACAATTGCAACAACAAGTACACAAATTAATTGACGAAGTTGAGCAGCATAGACAACAACTTGAGGAAGAGGTTGAACAACAAATAATGGTACGACTTCAAAATTCTTTTTTAGCCTCAATATTAATTTCTAGGATTCCTCAGACAAACCCCAACCTTCCAATATTTCAAACATTCAACTCCCCCCACTCTCCGATTCAAGCTACGAAAACACTTTTGAAACACCAGCACATTTTGCTTCAGAAAATTTTGCTAGCGCCCATCAGAATAATCAAACAAGTAATGCACCTATCAGAACAGTGCCAACTTCTCAGATGAGCGAGGAAATTATAGAATCTAGAGAAGAAGCTCATTGGAGCACAAAAATGGAATTTGCTTCAGAATCGAATAAAGCAACAATTAAAGAAGCTGGAAATCCTTTCACACAAGAAGAAATACAAGCTTCTCAATCACAATATATAACTGATTCGTCCAATTTATTTTATAGTAATGGGATGGGACAACAAGAATATCAACAACAAAGTTATACTGAGAGTGGCTACTATTATGGAAATGAGACGGCTAATACTGCAGCTAGTAAGTTGCTTCAAGTTTATTTTAATTCAAGTTCAATTAAAACTTGAAATTAAGTTTTAAGTTTGTAAGTGCTTCAAGTTTTAATTACTTCTTAATTCCAAGTTTTATTAAGACTTGAGTTAAGTTTTAAGTTTGTAAATGTAAATTAAATTAAATTTTTAATTTAATTTACAAACTTTTATTTTTAAAGTTGCTTCAAGTTTTAATTTAATTTCCAAGTTTAATTAAAACTTGAAATTAAGTTTTAAGTTTGCGCCTGCTTCAAGTTTTAATTTAATTTCCAAGTTTTATTTTTAAAGTTGCTTCAAGTTTTAAATTTATTCTAAGTTTTATTAAAACCTGGAATTGTAATTGCTTCAAGTTTTAACTTAATTCAAAGTTTCATTAAAACTTGAAGCACATCCTTAAAATTTTATTTAAACATTTTTAGCTGTAGAAGGCTATGCTTCAAATTACCAAGATTATTCTTATGCTCCCTCAACTTATGAAACAGCCGGTTATTATTCTACAGACTACGGAGCTAATAATCCTTATGGAGCAGGTTGCTTCACTATTTTATTTTTTTAAATAAATTTTTGCTTCAACTATTCAAACTTGCTTCACTTTCTTTTAAGTTCCTCCCACATCAGTAGATATTTATCAATACGATTATAATTATGATGCGCAATATGCTGTATCAGATCAACCAATAGAACAACAAATACCTGTAGCAGCACCATATTCTGGCCTAAATCCGTTTAGTGAGGATGGAAATGCTGTGCCCTACCAATCCGATCTCCCACCTCAAACAAATGAAACGCCGGTTGATGTTTCAGTTTATGGGTCACCTCCTCGTGCTCCTCCTCTCCCGCCTCCCCCTGCTATTGCTGCAGGACTTGGCCTTCCAGGATTGACTCAAAAGACCAGGACGCATGATCCATTCTCTTGGGAAGCACAAGAAAGTGAAATTGAGCAGCATGGAGGAGCTCCTTTGCCTCCGAGGTAGCTTCAAACATTTTATTTAATAAAAAATCTTTGAAGGCCTCCTCCCAGGATTTCTGAAGACACTGTACAACAAACGGAAGATGAAACACCAAAAAGGGCAGAGCCTCCAGCACGGCCCAAAATTCCTCCACCAAGTCGACCTCCTGCTCCAACTACAACAAAAATTCCAGATAACCCTCCTAGCAACAGTTCACCTTCTGTAGTAGAGAGAGAACCTGGAAATAATGGAGAAGAGACTAAAATCCAAGAAGGAAAACAAGAGGATGAAGAAGATCCGTGGGCACGCTTCAATAAGATGACTGAGATGGTAGGAGGCACTTGCTTCAGCTTTGAAAATAAACTTGAAACTTTATTAAATAAACTTGATACATAAATAAACTTGATACAATAAACTTGAAGCAAGTTTCAAGTTTATATTACTCTATCAAGTTTATTTTATGTATTCCCAAGTTTAATCTTGAAAATATTTTCAAGTTTATTTTCAAGTTTATTTTAAGGTTTATTATTTCCAAGTTTATTTTTATATATTTTTCAAGTTGAATTAATTATCCCCTATTTTTCTTAAGGTTAATAAGGCTGTCAAGAATACTGGTGAAAGACTTGGTCAACTTGGCGAACAATCAGCTGCTTCTCAACTACAAGACGACCAACAAGTGCAAAGCTATTTATCAACTGTAGGTGGGACTACCATGCAACTGACTGCTCTACAACGGCAACAGATTTTAGAACAAGAAGCACATCACAAAAAAATGAAAGCAGAAAAACGGCAGAAGAAGCTAGAAAAACTAGAAAAAGGATTTGGTTCAAAAATTGGAGGGGTTTTAGCTGCTGGAATTAATGCTGGGAAGGAAGTTGCATCTGTTGCCAAAGGAAAGGAGAAGAAACGAAAGGAAAAGAAAATTGAAGAAAAATACGATCCTAAAATGGAAGAGGATATGGAGAAGGCTGCCACTGAATTGGCTAAGAAGATTGCTGCTCAGCACGGATTTAAGTTGGGGAATGAGGAAGAGGAAAATGGAAGCAAGGTGAAGGAGGAAGATGAGGATGAAGAGAGTGATGAAAGCGAGGTTGAGCAACATGAAGCAGAAAAAGTTGAAGCAGAAGCAAAACTAGAAGCAGAAGCAAATTCCGAAGCAGAAGCAAAACTAGAAGCAGAAGCACCTCCATCAAAAAATTGGGCTGCCGCTTTTGAAAGTGCATCATTGCTTCCTCCCTCAGAATCTGATGTACACTTGGCAGAAGTACTAACCACTGGAATAACAGATCCCTTCGATACAAGTCGGGCCAAAAATTTGGCTTTGGGAGGCGGTGGAGGTGAAAGGGAGGTGGATCCGTTTGCTCCCCTTTCTCGGCAAGATAGACAAAAGAGTGTTATTGATGATCCTTTTGATGTCCGACCAATAGAGGAACTCATTGCCGAAGCACGCCAACAAGCAGAAATGGAAAGGGCTAGAAGAGAAGCTGCTGCAGAAGCTGGGGAGTATATTGAAGAAAATGAGGGAGGTATTAGAAGACCTACTTCGTCTAGACTTTCAACTCCAACTCAAGAAGGTGGTAGTCCGGTAACGCCGTCTATGGTGCGTCCTGTTGGATTTGAAGACGATTTTAAGGTAAGAAACACGAAACCTTAGAAAATAGGACTTGAAGCAAACATAAAATATAACTGAAACATGAAACTTGAAGCAAAAAAATTTTTAGAATGAAAACCTGAAGCAAAAAACTTAAAATTAAAACTTGAAGCAAGCATGAAACTAGAAGCAGCCTTAAAAAATAATTAGATATTGAAGCATTAAAGCTTCAAGCAAAAGCTTAATTAAAATATTAAATTAGAATATGGCTATCGATGAACAAACTCCTCTATATGACGAAGATGATTCTCAACCTCTTTCTGAATTTCCTCCACGTTTTACTGGGGATGGCTGGGAGCTTTTGCTACGATATCCACCCAAAAAGAAGTTGATGGCTGATCGCTATTGGAAACCAATCTTTGTTCGACTTAATGGGAATATGCTTTCTTTGTACGCAAATGCGCAAGAGACTAGGCCATCTCAGGAAATTTTATTACAGGTTGGTAAATCGGGTATATTTAAGTTTAAATAATGGTAGCAAACTAAATTTACGTATTAAAAACAATTAGAGAAAGTGAAACAAAAAAGTGTGCTTTGCTCATAAAAAAGTGAAGCAAAAACGTGAAGCAAAAACGTGAAGCAAAAAATAATTTTATCTGAAACAATTTTTTTAAAGTGGAGCATGCTTTTAGAAAAATTAAAAATTATCAAAAGGTGAAGCAATAAAGCGAAGCAAAAATTTATTTTTTAAAAGTGAAGCAAGTTTATATCTTTTCAATAGGCCAACTATTCATTATCCGACCCAACATTACAAGCTTATGATATTTACGGCAAAATACATACAGTCAAATTACAACATATTCTCTACAAAGAACGTGTGGGTATACGTCCAGGCCAGATTTCCCGGCTTGTAGAAGGGCACATTACAAAATATGGACTTCCACTTGAACATGCAGCACAATGCAATGTTATAGCAAAGTTTGGGTCGTTGGATGCTTCTACTGTTTTGAGTTTTACTAGGGCTGTAGAAGACGCACTATTTATATGTCCTAGCAAAAGAGAGTTTACTTCAGCAAATGCACCGGTATATAGACAGGATGAGGTTCAGGTGTGTATTTGGCTTTCCCTGGATTTAAGAAATACCCTCACTATAAGCTACCGCTCACTATAAGACACCCCTTCTATCACGTAAGTTACCTCTCTTCAGCCCCTAAGGTTGGTTATCTTATAGTGAGGTTATATCTGAAGCAATTAATTTATTATTTTTAAAGATCCATTGTTATGACGAATACGAAGCAAGGATTGACCGTGAAGGTTTTGTCCATGATCAAAAAGCACGTGTTCGCCTTTTCTGCCTTGCTTTTCTTACTGGTACAACGCCCACCTTAGAGATTGGATTAAATGATCGTCGACGTGAAGGGAAAGAAATAGTTAGAAGAAAAGACATTTTGCCCATGTACACCGAAAGATGGATACGTTTTGAAGCTCCAGAGTTCCACAATACTGTAGAAAAGTCTGTATGGGAAGAAGACCAAGTAGTTAGACTTGTCCCTCCGGATGGCTGCTTCTTCGAATTAATGCGCTTCAGAATCAGACCTCCAAAGAACCGAGAAAAACCACTCAGTGTAAAATGCATAATGCGTCTGTCTGGGAAACAAGTAGAAATTCGGATAGAAACTGCAGCAGCCCTGCATCAACAATGTGCTAAAGGAACAGTAGAATCAACTAGATCAATTCCTTGTGAAAATATTTGCATCCGTTTCCCGATACCGGAAGCTTGGATTTATATTTTCCGCGAAGAGAGGCATTGGGGTGTTGGTTCTGTTCACTCAAAGATGAGAAAACCTGGAAAAGTTAAAAACTTGAAGGATAAATTAATGGGAACGGTGCAGCAAAATGAGCCTTGTTTAATTGAGGTGTGTTTTGAGTTTGTTTTAAGTTTATTAGTCTTCACAATCTTAAGTTTATTTAAATTTGCAATCTTAATTCAAGCTTATTTTCTTTTTACAATTTCATTTCAAGTTTATTTTTCTATCACAAACTTGTTTCAAGTTTATTTTCTTATTACAATCCTAAGTTTATTTTTATTCTAAGTTGCAATCTTTTTTCAAGTTTATTTTTTATTCCAACTTGATTCAAGTTTATTTTTTTATTACAACCTTGCTTCAAGTTTATTTTTGTAACTAGCTTAAGTTTAAGTTTATTTTCCTACTACAAACTTGTTTCAAGTTTATTTTCTTATTACAATCTTAAGTTTATTTTTATTTCAAGTTTATTTTTGCTATTACCCCTAACAATACATAAACCCTTATTTTAAATAGGTTGGAACAGGTGAAGCAAAATATGAACATCTATTTCGTTCACTAGTTTGGAGAATCCCTCGATTACCTGATAAACAAAGTGCTGCATACAAAAGTTATATGCTCAAGTAAATATTAGCTGTTTAATTTCACTCTATTAAAATTTAAAGATGTCGTTTCACTCTCACTTCATTCGATTTAATGCCAGAAACTTTTATGCCCCAAAGCGAGTTGGAATTTACTATGCCTCTAGCGATTGTTAGCAATACTGTGGCACGTTCTGTAGGTGTTGAACAACACGAGGACAGCGATAGAGTAGAAAAATTTGTTCGGTATTTGGCAAAGTTTCATTACAGGTCCTTAATTATGATAAAGAAAAGTTGAGAATAATTTTGCAATTTGTAAAATTATTAATCTTAATTTGTGAATTAAAGTTGCAATTCATGTTGTCAAGTTTGTAGACTTAAGTTTTTTACTTTTATAAATTGTAAAAATTAGTAAAACTTTAATTACAATAATTTTTACACTTGTAAGCTTATTTAAACTTATTTTGTAAATTAAACTTTAATTAAAGTTTAATTAATTTTACAATTTGTAAAATTATTAAAACTTTTTCTTGAATTTAAGTTTGTAATTCAAGTTTAAATTACAAATTGTAAAAATTATTAAAACCTTTTTAAGGTTGTAGTTAAAGTGTAAATAATTTTACAAATTGTGAATTTGTTAAAACTTTAATTGCAACTTTAATACCCAAAATAAGTTTAATTTGTAAATTAAACTTTAATTCAAGTTTTAATTAGTTTTACAAATGTAAATTTGTTAAAACTTAATTTGTAAATTATTACAATTCCCCAAGTTGTATTTATTATTCTTTTAAGAATTGATAATGACTATATTCAATGCCCAGACTTGGATGTAGAGGATGTTGTAGTTGAACAACCCCAACAATCTAATGATGATAGAAATGGGGAAGACGAAGCTGTAGTAAATGAACCTTATGGAGGGTAAAGAGGGGGACTTTTTAAAATTTACTTTTTTCAATTTAAGTTATCGAATTGAATTGCCCGACGATAATATCCAACAGCAACAACAAATTCCGTCCACTACCCCACAGGATTGGAACCAACAAGAATCCGAAAATACAAAGAGAAACACAAATCTTTCAAAAAGTAGTAGTAGTGGAAGTAGTGATAGTGGACGTAAAGCCTTCCCGGTTATTCAAATTGATATGAAAGGATATGGATATTAAATAAATAAATATATTTTTTATATTTGTAATAAGGTTGATGGAATTGGGATTAATTTTTAGGTACAGAATATTAATTATGATTTTTTAAAATTATTTTGAGACAAAAAATACAAACTTGATTTTAATTAAGTTTGTTAAGAAAATTAATTACAACTTTATATATATAGATTGTAAAAATCGCAAACTATGTCTTAACAAGTTTTACAAATTGTAAAGTCTACAAAAATAGGTTTTAATATTTTTACATTTGTAAAATTCACTATTATAATTTGTAAAAATTATTAAAACTTATTTTGTAAATTATTACAATTTGTAAAAATTTATTAAAACTTATTTTCTGATTTTTACAATTTGTATTTAAATTTGTAATTCAAGTTTTAATTAATTTTTACAAATTGTAAAAATTATTTAAGCCTATTTTGTAATTTTTACAATTCAAGTTTTTATTTTTATCTCAATTCCATCAAAACCATAATATACTTAAAAAATATTTTTCAGGTGATCATATATTGATCTCAAGCGCAAATAATTATTTTACAATCTTGTTTCAATTTAATATTTTTTTTATTTTTAAAATAAAATTTATTCTTAATTTATGTTTTTACTGAGAAAAATAGAACCCGTGGTTGAACTTCCCTGAAGCCCCCTGTCAATTTGTATGCCACATTAAGCATTTTAAAATAATTTAATTTTAATTTTTCTTGAGCTATTCCACACCTTTAATTAAACAAATAGTTTCAGGATATTACCAAAGCATGTTTCATCTCTTTATTAATTTAATTAAGTTCTCACTCTCTCTGTTAGCATATGACTTTTGGCCTCCCTTCATTTGCCAACTCATCGGGTAAATATTTAAGTATTGCTGCCAACTCAGAGAAATCCATAAATTTAGCTTAATATGATTTTTACTTTTTTGGTGGGAATTATCCTTGAAATTTTCTTAAACTTGTTAGTTTCTGCGCAATTATTTCCAGGATATGAGCCTGATGGAAGTAACTTTTAATTAAAATTTCTGTTATTTACAAATTTATTTTAAGCTTGTACGATGGGGAGATGCCTCCAAACAAGTCAAATATGTGATAAAAATACAAATAATTGCTGTAAGATTTAAATAGTTTTTGAGAGAAATAATTAAGTTTGAGGAATTTTTACAAATTGTAAAAAGTTTTGTTAGGTTTGTAAATTAAACTTAACTAAGTTTTACAAATTGTAAAAGTTTTCATCTCATTACTAGTCTTTAAAATTGTAAAAAGTTTGTAAATGTGAATTACAATTTTTGCTAGGTTTGTAAATTAAACTTAGTTAAGTTTTACAAATTGTAAAAAGTCTTTTAAGGTTTGTAAATAAGTATTGTAATTTCTATAAAGTTGTAAATTAGGTTTTAAATTATTTTTACAAATTGTAAAAAATTTTATTAGGTTTGTAAATGTGAATACCTATATTATAACGTCAATATTTATGATGTTATTAATGATTTTACAATTTGTAAATAATTTATTATTAGACTATTAATTTATTTGAAATTAGTAATCAGCGTGATATTGATGATAAAAAAACTAAACTTTTTTGAAATATTTTCGCAGTCAAAATTTCAAGTAGACAAGCAGTAAGAAGATACATTAGGAATGCAAGATCAGGCGTTTGTGAAAATACACTTTGCCCACCGGGAAGTATCAAAGACAAGGATGGTATTTTAATAGAAAGATTCAGCATATATTTTAAATTTTAAGGCTGTTCTATCAAAGGTGTCTGCATAACTTTGAGTCAAACTTGTATTCAAGGCGAGTGCTGCGAAAAGTCTTATTTGCCAAATGCGATGCAAGCAATGCAAGAAACGTGCAATCCGAATATGCCCTCCAATCCGAATATGCCTAATCCAAATATGCCCTTCAATCCAAATATGCCTAATCAGAATATGCCATATAATCCTCAAATGCCGTATAATCAATTTGGGAATGGACAGATGGCAGGTGGCATGCCTTATGGACAAGGAATGATGCCAGGAAACATGCCATACAATCAAATGGGCTATGGACAGGGAATGATGCCAGGAATGGCAGGAAACATGCCGTACAATCAAATGGGCTATGGACAGGGAATGATGCCAGGAATGTCAGGGAACATGCCGTACAATCAAATGGGCTATGGACAGGGCATGATGCCAGGATATGGACAGGGAATGATGCCAGGAATGGCAGGAAACATGCCGTACAATCAAATGGGCTATGGACAGGGCATGATGCCAGGATATGGACAGGGAATAATGCCAGGAATGGCAGGAAACATGCCGTTCAATCAAATGGGCTATGGACAGGGAATGATGCCAGGAATGTCAGGGAACATGCCGTACAATCAAATGGGCTATGGACAGGGCATGATGCCGTACAATCAAATGGGCTATGGCCAAGGAATGATGCCAGGATATGGACAAGGAATGATGTCGGGATATGGACAAGGAATGATGTCGGGATATGGCCAAGGAATGATGCCAGGATATGGACAAGGAATGATGTCGGGATATGGACAGGGGATGATGCCAGGAATGTCTGGAAACATGCCGTACAATCAAATGGGTTATGGCCAAGGAATGATGCCAGGATATGGACAAGGAATGATTTCGGGATATGGTCAGGGGATGATGCCAGGATATGGACAAGGAATGATGTCGGGATATGGCCAAGGAATGACGCCAGGATTTGGACTTGGGATGTCAGGATATGGACAAATGATGCCTGGAAACACGCCGTACAATCAAGGAATGATGTCGGGATATGGACAGGGAATGATCTCAGATTATAGACAAGGAATGATGTCAGGGAACATGCCATATAATCAAATGGGATATGGGCAAGGGATTATTGGTGGCAACCTCAACGGATTAGGACTTGGAGGAATAAGCAGCTTAAATGGAATCGGTGGCATGAGTGGAATTGGTCTTGGAGTTGGAGGAGGATACGGGGGAATAGGAGTTGGAGGATATGGAGGTATCAGTGGTATTGGTGGATATGGAGGCTTTGGTTCTTCGGATTATTATCCGCAATGTGTGCTATATTCTTCCTATTGTGCCCTTTCCGCAATCGCTGATGCCTGTCCCGGAAGTTGTGGACGCTTTGGTTTTGCTAGGCGTTAAAGAAATCTTTCTAAATTATTTCCGAACTATTTACTATTTCTAAATTAACCTCTAATTTGATCTCAAAATTGTAAATAAATTTATTCCTGTAATAAAAATATCTTTTCATAAGAAGCCGCCTGAATCCCTACCCAGTTTACATCAAAACCAAGAATAAGCGGAATATGAAGCGAATACTAATAGCTTAATGTTGTTCTTTCTCGCTCACTCCTTCGCTCACTCCTTTAGAGAGATTCACCGTTCATTCTTTAGAGAGATTAAATGGGCGATATCTCCTCGATCGGGCAATAACTTTAGTACGGACCAGGGTTCGAGTTGACCCGATTCACGATTCCCGAAAATTGGGTAGTTGGTTTTCTGTCGGCGCGATCCCTGGCACGGAGTATTCTCTAGACTAATCCACCCACTGATCCTTTCTTTCTCTTATTTCCGAAATTATATTGGTTACTGATAGGCTGGATTAGTAAGCAAAGTTATATTATTATTTATCAATTTTATTTTCGCCTTCAAACACAATAAAGTACACCTGTTGGCATTTCTAAAAATATTTTTTTTCTTCCATTTTTAACAAAATTTAAAAAATTTAGGGATAATAAAAAATATTTTTTGTTTATTTAAAAAAATTCTTTAATGAGTGAGAGTTTAAAATTAGAGGATTTTTTGTTGGCAAAATAAAAGCTGAGTAAATATTAAACCGAACATGCCATATCGATCCCCTCTCTATTTTAGATTTTCTCGATTCAACTTTGAGAAAAATATTTCCCCTAAAATTTTTAAAAATAAAAATTGATTATTATTCAATTAATGCCTTAAAAATTGAAATTTTTTGAAATGAAAAAATTTTTAATTTTCCCCAAGAGTAATTTAAAGAGGAAAAAACGACCTTTATTTTCAACTAATTCTCCTCATTTTTATTTTTTAAATGATTCAAGAGGACCCCGAAAAAAATTTTTTATTATTCTTTTGTTGCTTCTAAAAGTTTTGGTACCCGTTAATGGCCAAGCTGCTTTTGGCCCCGTAAACCAGTGTCCAACGGGGCAAATTGCAGATGGATGTGAGTGAAGTTTTATTTTTACGCCTTTTAGGATTGTGAATTTGTAAAAAATTAAATTGAAATTTTCTATTTTTAACCCTCCCCCAAAGTGGAGTATATTTAAAGGGGGAGTTGTAATTCAGAGGTGAGTATAATTATAGGAAATAAGGTAATAATTAAAAGTATATTCGTTACAATTGTAAATTGCGCCTGATCACAATTGACAATTATATTGACAATATAAAATACGCCTATTAATATTACAATTTGAACTTTTTTTACAATTGTAAAATACGCCTATCTGTTAATTCCGCCTGTTTCAGTTTTTATAGTTATAAATTAATGAAGCAGGCGGAATTAAAAAAACAGGCGTATTTTACAATTGTAAAAACTTTAAAATTAAAAAAAATCCGCCTGCTTCACAATAAATTAAATAAATAAAATTTATTACAATTAATAATTAAGCATGTTTTATTTATGGCTTCTGCTTCAATCAACAAGAGCGATGCATAAACGGAGTTTGCTGTAATTATTATTAATAAAATATTTATTAAAATTATTATTCTTAGGTCGTCCATTAATCCCTCAATGCCCTGTCGGCTTCATACCCGATGGATGTAATTATTTTTTTATTAAAGTGTGGCCCAAAAGTAACTGGTCACTTTTCTGTCAACATAACTTTTTTTCTAATTTATATTTTTAAATATTTTTATACTCATTTTGTAGCCAAAATAATTCTCTTTCATGGTCTTAAACTCGTATCCCAGCAAAGAGTGGGCATCGGGAATGGGCTCTCCCGGATCATAGAAGGTAGAGGAATTCCCTTCAAAATACCAGAATTCTTCGGAAGGCGGAAGACAGCTCATCCCTGGAGGGCACTTCGAATTTCTTGTTTAATTTGTTCCTTTATTTCCCTATCATTTAAGCCTTATTTTATCTCATTATCCCTTGCCTGACTAAAGTTATGAGATAAATAACGTGTCCAGTTATTTTTGGGTCTCCCTGTAAAATTTATTAAAAATTAAGCTTCTATTTTATTTTCAAGTTTGTTCATACACTGGAATTTGTTTCGAATTAAATCAGCGTTGCCTAAATGGAGTTTGTTGTTAGTTTATCTTAATTTTCTCAAAAAACAACAAATTTTATGAATTCATTAAAGGCAGACCAAACCAAGTATATCAACAATGCCCTCCAGGAACCTTTCTAGACGGCTACTGTTCCTATACTCGAATTTGCTTTGATCCGCGTGAAACTTGTTTTAATGGACTTTGCTGTAATTTTAATTGAAAATTGAAATATTGAAAAATAATTTTAGGTCAGAGTTATGGACAAGGACAGTTTCCTCCTAACTATCCGCCGAATCAGCCAATATACCCCCCTAATCAACCGATATACCCTCCTAATCAGCCAATATACCCTCCTAATCAACCTATATATCCTCCCAATCAACCAATATATCCTCCCAACCAAATATATCCACCAAATCAACAAATATATCCTCCCAACCAGATATATCCCCCTAACCAAATATACCCTTCCCCAAATCAAATTTACCCCCCTAACCAAATATACCCCCAAAACCAAATATACCCTACCAACATCTATCCTTATCCACGACAACAAATTCCGGGAGGAATTGGTGGCATCTATCAACCATATCCTATTGGGTAAGTAAATCCTATTAGATTTTAAATTATATGTAGAATATTTCAGTGGTCTAGGAGGAATGGGTGGTATACGACCAATTGGTGGGGGAATAGGCGGCCTTGGAGGAATTGGATATGGCGGAATTGGCAGTCTTGGTATGGGAGGTCTTGGAAGCTTAGGAGGACTTGGAGGATACGGTGGAATTGGAAGCCTTGGACTTGGTGGAGGACTTGGAAGCCTTGGCGGATATGGAGGACTTGGAGGAATGGGAGGCGGACTTGGTGGCCTAGGAGGAATTGGCGGTCTTGGAGGTATGGGTGGAATTGGCGGAATCGGTTTCGGCTGTGTAGATTATCACCCATATTGTCCCCTTTACACTACTTATTGTTTTTCTTCAACAATTGTGGAAGTCTGTATGGAAAGTTGTGGACTTTGTGATATTTACAAAAGGTGAAAGGAGGACATAAATTAATTAAAAAATAAATACTTATATAAAAATAGATTATATTTTGTAATAATTGTATAATTAAAAAATTATTTTATTATTAATTTAAAAATACAAAAATTGAAAAATAAAATTTTGAAAAGTGAGAGGAGTTGGAATGATAATATCAAGGATATATCTACATATAAAATAAGGGTTAAAATAAATTGATAAAAATCAGAATTATTGAATATTAATAAATAATTCTGATTTGCAAACTTAAGTTTGTTTAAGTTTTTTTCAACTTAAACTTAAGTTGCAAACTTAAAACTTGAGTTTGTTTAAGCTTATTTAAGTTTTAAGTTTGTAATTTACAAATGAATATTCTGATTTGTAAAATAATTATTAATTGTAAAACTTGGATAATTCTTATTTAAAAATTCTGATAATAAAATTCTGATATTTTACAAATAATTGAGTGAATATTGAAATCAGAATACACAAATAAAATTCTGATTTTTTTCAGAATATTTTTAAAAAAATTCTGATTTTCTTCAGAATTTTTCAAAATAAAATTCTGATTGTTTCAGAATACTTTTTAAAAAATTCTGATTTTTATCAGAATATTTTCAAAAAAAAATTCTGATTTTTTCAGAATTTCTTCAAAAAAATTCTGATTTTTTCAGAATTTTTTTAAAAAATTCTGATTATTTTCAGAATATTTTCAAAAAATTCTGATTTTTTCAGAATATTTTTTAAAAATTCTGATATTTATAAAATTCTGATTTTGTAAAACTTAATTGCAAATTAATTCTGATTTGTAAACTTAAAAATAAGCAGCCTGAAAAAAACATTTTCTGATTTGTAAACTTGAAATTGTAAACTTGAAATAATATCAACTTAATTATCTTTTTATTCTATTTTCCACCCTTTTTGCCCTTTTTCTATTTAATTTCATATTTCCTTCATGTCTCCTCTTACTGATTATTTCATTATCTTCATTCTTCAATTTTCTTCTTTGTCTTCCCCCAATTTTCAAATTTTCCTTTCTCCTCATTTCCCCACTTCTTTTAGTTAACAACACCCTCCTTTTTGTTGTTTTTATTATTTTTGGAACAGAAATTCTGATTTTATTTTTTTTCTGATTTTCGTCACTTAGAGGGGTTATTATTGCTTCTGTATTATTTAAATTTTCCCTTCTATTTTTTTCTGGTAGCAATTTTTCTGTGTTTATTCTCTCCTTTTTTGCTTTCCTTCTGGGGGCTTTTAATGATTTTATTTTTTGCCTAGTTGGGGTTGTTCTGTGTTTTTGACTGTTTTTTGTGGTAGGGAGTGTGGTTGCTTCAGTTAATAAATTGAATAGACCGGCAATGTTTGTTGTGAGCTTGAGTTCGTCTTGGAAGGCTTTGACGCAGTCTTCGGGGACTTTAAAAGGGAGGAGGAAAGAATTTTTCCGAAAAAAAATTTTTTGAGCAAAATAATTACGTTTGCGACAACTTTGCTTCATTTGGTCATCTTCCATGCATATCTCTCTTTCTGGTTTGCAATCCAGCTCGCACTGGTCGAGAACGGGTACCCATTGGGCGTCAGAAAATGGCTGTCCGCCTGGAAAAACATACTTTAAAAATTTTAATAAATACAAACATAATATTTGATTCCTGAAGAGAAATTCTACTAATTCTGCAGCATTTATAGGTGTTGTTAAAAATATTAATATTGAATTTAATAATTGTAAAAACAATAGCCTGACAATTAAACAATCATGCATCTACTTAAATGTTTCAAGTTTAATTTTAAATTTGCTTAAGTTTATTTTCAAGTTTTATTTTTGTGTTTCAAGTTTATTTTGTATTTTATAGGTTTTAAGTGTTAATAATTCAAGTTTGTATTTCAGGCTGGTTTTTGTGTTTTTAAAGTTTATTTGTGTGCTTCAAGTTTATTTTTGTATTTCAAGTTTATTTTTCTGCTTCAAGTTAATTTCAAGTTTATTTTTGTAATCCAAGTTTATTTATAAGTTTTAAGTCAAGTTTGTATTTCAAGTTTGTAATTTTCTGTGTTTCAAGTTTATTATTTTGCTTCAAGTTTATTTTTTATACATATTTCTTGCTTCATATTACAAGTTTTATTTATATTTAAAAGTTTCAACTTACTAAATGCTTCAGAAAATTAAAAATAGTACATATAATCCAATAAAATAAATAATAAAAAAATATTTTTACAATCTAATAAAATAATAACAAAATAATGTGGCCAGAAGCTATATGAAGCAAATTAATTAACAACTACATAGAAGCAATTTAATCTATTAGGTGTGTAAAATCGCAACCATTAGCATTTCCCCTCCAATAAAAATAAATTTATTAAATTAACAAAAAGAGAGAATTGGGTGAATTAATTAATAGAAAAGAGGGAAGAAATTTTGTAGAGAGAGAGAGATTGATTGGTCAGGACCGGTTGTCGGATTTGTCAATTGCTTCCACCTTCCCCTTACCTTAGGGGGGAATGTTTATATATATTTATTGTTAAGGAAAGCACCCCTTTTTTGGATTTATTTTTTATTATCCTTCCGCGTGTCCGTGATCTTTATCATTTTAAGGTGGTTTATTTGGTAAATTATCAGTTTAACAGAGAGAGAAGCACAGAAATGTTTCAGAAGCAAAAAATGCTGCAACTTCAAATAGAAACAAGTTGCAACTTTAATAAAAAATAAACTTGAGATTACAAACTTGAATTACATAAATTTAAGTTTACAACTTTAAAAAAGCTTAAAAATGCTTCAACTTTGCTTATAAAAAATAAAGTTTCTTAGAAGCAACCCTTAGAAGCAACCCTTATTTTTAATGTTAAAAATTATTACATAAAAATTATATTTATTTTTTAACTTAATTTTTCATAGGTATATATAGCCAAAAAATTATATTATTTTAGATAGATTATCTAAAAAGTGAATCTGTCAGAAAAATATTAAATAGCCTTAGCCTTTAGGAAAGGTTGCGCAAACATACACCTCTCTTAGGGTATTTTCTCCGATTGACCTTTATACAGATACTAATAATTTTTATTATTTTTTAACGATTTATTAGATGATTTATTAAAATATAAAAATAATTAAAATGGAGAAAAGAAAAATATTATTAAGAAAATTAAAGTTGAAGCAAACAATAAATTCTGAAACTTGCTGCTAGCCGAGTTGCAAAAATTCTCCTTACAAAAACAAAGGGAAGGAGAACCAGAACGACAATGTAAATTCTGTGGAATTGAAACATCTGCTTTGTAAATTCGAGATCTACATCCACGTATAACAAATTCTAAGCCTGTTAAAGTTTGAAACAAAATTTTAGAAGCAAATGTTTCAAGTTTATATTAAATTCAAGTTTTTAAGTTTACAAACTTGTAATCTCAAGTTTATTAAAAGTATTGTAATTCAAGTTTATTTAAGTTGGAAATTTGTATTTTATTTTATTTTAAGTTTGCCAACTTTAAATTAAAGTTTGCAGTTGTTTCAAGTTTGATAATAAAGTTGAATTATTAATTCCATTTTAAACTTAAGTTTTTAAGTTTGCAAACTTGGTTTTTCAAGCTTATTTAAAAAATCAAGTTTTAGTCTAAATTCCTTCTTAAGTTTATTTATTTTTTCAAGTTTAAGCTTAAGGTATTTTGCTGTGCGCAAAAAACGCCAAAATACAAATTTACGCCAAAATTGGATTTAAAAATAACATAAATTTTATAACAAAATTTTTAAAAAAATTTAAATATTATAATCACCTTCATTAACCGCTTTAACCTTTACACATTGATCATTTGCCGTTGAACATTGAATAGTGGGTATTGTTTTAAATTCAATGTCGTCTTCCATATTGCAGAAACGGCTTACTTAAAAATTTTTTAAATAAAAATAGAAACAATTTAAATGCCTGGGGGCAATTCATAAACAGAATTTAGAAACACTCGAAGGGCCATTTTTGCATTTTCTTCAATATTAGGGTTTAAAGTGGTTGTACAAGAGTAGCAAATAAGTGCCCATGAAGGCACTAGAATTTTTATAATAAAAAATAAAATAACTAATAGAATTTGTTGGTGGTTGTTAAAAAACATTTTGTAAATAAGTCATTTATTTTTAATTTTGCTTTAAGTTTGATTTATTTGCTTCAAGTTTATTTTTTCTTCTAAATTCTTTGCTTCAAGTTGCACACGTTGTTAATTATTTATATTAAACTTTATTTTCAAGTTTGAGCTTAAAAATAGGGGTGTATTCCGAACGCTCGAAAGCATAAAAAATTTTTTAAAGTTTATTTTTAAACAACTTTGCTCCCATTTATTTAAAATATTTAGTTGATGGCAAGTCGGTTGCCAGGGAATATATTTTTATGAAAATAAATCTCTTCAAAATATTTTTCAGGAAAACATGGAAAGTAAAGCATTAAAAACAGGCGATATTTATGGATATATTAAGAAAATAAATTAATGGAGGAAAAAATTTTTCTCTAATTTTTATAATTTAGAAAATTAGTTTAACTTTAAGTTTATTTTTCAAATTTAAGCTAAAAGGGTGCTGTGCGCAAAAAAACGCCAAAATTAATTTTAAACTGCTTAAAATGTTGCAAAAAATCCTTTCTAAAAATTTTTCAAAATTTATTTATCTTTTCATATGTTCAAAATTAAATTGTAAATTAATAGTACAAAGTATAGTGTATATGTATATCACAAAAAAAAAGAAAAAACATTTTTTAAAATAAGCAGAAAAAAATAAAGTATGTAGTCTTTAAATGTAACAACTAATAAAAAAAATCTTAAAATTCCCCCTTAACCCCCTCTACCCACAAAAAAATTTTTTAATCAAAATTTTCAATTCAAATGAAATCCTTTTTCATATGTAGCGGCCAATAAGCGTTCCCGTAAAATTGTGGCAGTGCTATATTCGGGCAATTTTAAATAATGTACACAAGTATTTACTGACTGAAATTAAGGAAAAAATTAATAAAAAAATTAATTTAAAAAAAATTTTTTTCTCAAACTTACAGGATAAGATCCATCTCCAGACCCAACTTTTCTTACAATTGTTAAGCGCGGATGTAAATTTGCTAGACCGCCAGGTGGTAATGAAGAACAACTATTTTTAAAAATTATTTTTCAATTAAAAATATAGTCAAAAACATTCTCTATATAAGACACCCTCCTTAGAACAAAAAAAATATCTCTTATAATGAGGTGTCTATTAAATAGAGGAAAAAGGGTATTGTTTAGATAGTGGGTACCACCTAAACTGTTGCTCAACCCAGTGTGTTCAAATTTTAACAAATCGTCTCTTAAATAACTGTTTGGATCTCACTATAGGAGACCTCTTGTAACAGAAAGTCTCTTATAATGAGGCGAAGGGTATCACTTAAATAGAGGGTATCACTTAACAAACCCCCTCATCCAATAGCTAACCAAATTTTAAAGAAACAGCGCTTAAATAGAAGTGTGTCTAGTATTGGATGTGTCTTATATGAAAGTGTTAAGTTTAAAAAAATTCTTTATTTACCCGGTTGTAAATTGTAAGAAGGCTTTGCGTTCAGTCGAATCGAAATTATTCAAAACATCAACAAAGTTGATAAAAACAGGCGAATCACGGGTATATCTTTAAAAAAATAAAAAAATATTAAAAGTATTACTTAAAAATACTCGAAAGGTATTTTTAAATTTTTCTCGAAAAAAATTTTAAAAAAAAAAGGAATAATTTCTTAAAGTGGAAATTGAGGTTAGGGGGGTCATGGGTTCGATGCCGCTTGGGGTAATTATTTTTTTTAATTATTTTAGATGTGTTGGTAAGTCAAAAATTCTAGCCAAAATTAATTTTATATGCTAAAAAATTTATTAATTTAAATTTAAAAAATTTACCCAAGTTTAGGTTCTGTATAACGTAACAAATCTTCTCTTGTCCATTTAGGGCTTTGTTCACCAGAAATAAGTAACTAAAAAAAATTTTTTTTTAATTGACACAAATAAAATTTTACTTGAAGTTCTGATGCAGAAAATGGAATTAAAGAAGACAAGGGAAGAACCATATTAAATCCATGTTTAAAGGCAAACACCTTTGAAAGAAAAAAAATTTTTTTAAATTAAAATAAATTAATATTTGATAGCCTATTAAAATAATATACAGTTAAAGACATTGGGCCTTAATCCCTCTCCTATAGAATTTGAGAGGTAATGGGTTCGGCCACGCGTGGGGATATTATTTTTTAATAAATTTTAGATGGGCGTGGGGAGCCAGTGTTAATTTTTTTAAATTACAAGGGAAATCAAGGAAATCAATGTGGAAAATTCTCTCCAAACAAACCTGTTCTTTAATTCCCGTATTTAAATAAAAATCAAGGCATTTTTCAATATAAAGCTCAACATTTTCTAAAGTCACGTCAATATTTAAACCATTTTCAATTAATTCAGCATGTGAATATGGAAAGACTTTAGATGGAGGATTTACAGCAAAAGTTAAAGACAAATCTGAAAATTGTAAACGTATTAGAATAAATAAAGATCTATGTATTTAAAAAAATTAAAAAATTGCAGAAAAATAATTTGTCCGCAAAATTTTTGCGGACAACGTTTTTGTAGACATTTTTCAGAAGACATCACCAATTGTTAATAATAAGAAATAAGATATAAAAAAATAAATATTAATTAAAAGAAACCAGGAAGAAAAAAAATCCGCAAAAATTGTCCGCAAAAAAATTTTTAGTCCGCAAAAATAAATCAAAAAAATAATAAAAATTTTTTAATTTAAAATTTTCCAAACCTTCCAAGGAACATTCAGAATCCCCAAATTGCACAAGTATTTTTTCAGAATCGTTTTTATTATTTAATTCTTTTATTTTTAAATTATATTCAATTAATGATTTGAGCAATTTTGCCTTTTCTGGGAATATATGCATAAAATCATCCAAATCGAGAACTGAAACAATCGAAGAGGAAGAATTTAACTTGAAAAGCATTAAATTGAAAAAAAATTTTTTGTTAAAATTTACCTCTGAAGAAAGAATTAATTTCAAAAACACTGGAGATAGGGGCAAATCGACAAGCCGATCATCCTGAAAAAAAAGTTCGAATTAAATAAAAATGAAATAAAAATAATAAAAAAAATTATGAGCGCAAATATTTTTCCGCAAAAAAAATTTTTAACTAATATGCCCACAAAAAAATTTTTTTTGGAAAAGGGTAAACCTATTGGAAAAGGTAAACCCAACGTTAGCATAGGTTCTAAAAAGCTGAACGGAACCGAGGTTCTCAGCTCCTGGAAAAAAAATCAACAAAATTTACCCACGCAAAAAACATATTTAAACGAAAATTTCCCCCAAAAAATTATTAAAATTTAAAAAATTTTCACAAACTTGTATAGCTTTAGCAATAAAAACTCCAAATAATTGGAAAAGTTCCAATTGTTTTGAAAAATTATCAGCACAATTCGTAGTTGTAGGCCATGGTGCCGGGAATAAACCACCAACAGAATGGACATAATAACCTGGAGGTTTACAACAAGGATTGAGTATTGTTGAAGAAGAATCTGATGATTGAATAGAAGAATTTTTGTTTAATGAAGTATCAACATCTTCCTCATCATCACATAGCCACATACACAAATCTTTACGTTGAAATTCTGTGGCAATCTTTAATGAATAAAAATTTAATTTAAAAAATTTGACATAGCGACATAATGAAGCCAGAGACGGCAACATTATTTATTATTATTTGAGCTCACCGTTCGTGTTTTAAATTCCCAAAAAAAACTAATTTTTAAAAGGAGCAGCATAAAATAGAAAAATCCGCAAACTTTATTATCCGCAAAAAAATTAAAATAGATTATAAAATAAATCACAAAACTAGGTTAAAATTAGTGTGTTGACTAGCGGTTATTAACTGGTACCCTTGGTTTTTGGTTAATCCAAATTTTACAGACACGGTTTTCGGGTTTTTAAAAACCTAATACTTAAAAATTACCAAAGCAAAAAATTCCAATGTAGGTCCCAAACCAGTTCCTTCTTCACCATAATATTCAATTTCAAGAATAGATTTACGTGTAGCATGGAATTTAAGTACTTTAATTGCATTCTCCAAAAATAGTTTATCGCTTCGATGAACCTAAAAAAGGGAAAAAATTTATTTAAAAATACTTTTTCAAAAGTATTTTTAAACTCATTTTTCATTGTCAGTTATATTTTCAATAAACGACTTGTTTGGATACACATTCCCTATGAATTAATTTTGAGAGAAAAATAGTGGATTTTTAATTATAATAGATTTTTGGTTTATTGCCTTCAATCCAAAAAAACAGTCCGCAAATTTTATCCGCAAGTTTTACTTTTGTATTCTAAACCCAACCCGCCAATTTTTTGTCAACAAATACTTTCTCTATCAAAAATTAAATTCAAAACCTTTATTCTCTCATGTTTAACACGTCCAATTCTATATTCAGGATAATGATCTTCTCTTCTCAATCCAGCCATATTACTTGTACCAGCTGCCGATGTAGCAGCAGAACGGCTTTGTTCAAGTAAATGATCCCGACGATTTTGTAAATAACCTATAGCACGAGATGTTCCAAATGCTTTAAAAAGAAAAATTTTTTCTTTCAGAAAAATTTAAAAAAAAACCTGTTGTATTAAGGTACATAACACGAGTATCCATTGAAAATAAACAAGGAAATTTGTAAACTGCAAAAAAATTTAAATTAAAATTAGACAAAAAAAAGACAAGCTTAAAATTATAATATTTGGAGAGCAAAAAAAATTTTAAGGTTTAAAAATTTAAAAAAATCCACAAAGTCTGCAAATTTTGTTCGCATTTCAAACTATTTTTAAGTAAAATCGAGAGGGTTAATTTGAAGAATCGAGTAGAGTATCGCTTTATTGGGAGCAATAAAAAAAAATGACACTCAATAAATTACTAAAAATCCAAAAAATCAAAATTTTTGAACAAAAAAATTGAACAACTTGTCTATATAAAATTAAAAAAATCAACTAAACACAAACCTAATTCATTACACCAAGAAGGCAAAGTTTTTGCAGCAACAACTAATGGATCTGCCAATTCTTGACATAATTTTTGAGTTAATTTGGCACTATAAAATACATCTGATTTTAATGAGGATAAAGAAGTAGAAGAAGAATCAATTTCTGATAAAGAAGATTGTTGGTTGTTATTTGTAGTTGCCAAAAAATTTAAAATTCGAACAAGTTCGAGAGCCTATTTAAAAAAATAATTTTTTAAATTTATTTTTAAAATTTAGTAAAATTTTTTTAAATTAAATTGTCCAAAAAATCGAAAAAATAGGGGAAAATACGATCTTCAATTAAAAATTTTACACGTTAAACCACTTAACCACAAAATAAATATAAGGGGGAAAAATTTAATTAAAAAATTCCCCTCATAGTTATTTTGGTTAAGTGGTATATAGAGCAATTTTTAACTAGATTTAAGTAAGTTTAGAAAATAAATTGTTGGATTTTATTCCGGATAGGAAAAAATGTAAAAAAAATTTTAGGAAAAAAATTTCTCAAAAATTTTATCCATTATTTTCAATAGAAAAAAAATTTCTTTAAGGTTAAAAAAAAAATTTTTTTAGGGTTAAAAAAAATTTTAAAAAATTTTTTAAGGTTAAAAAAAATTTTTAATCAAAAAATAAAAACCTGTCCAACTAGAGGAACATTACTACTCTCACTACCAATTTTCACATTATTATTATCCAAACAATTTTCTTTATCTTCTTGTTGTAAAATTTGATCATTTTTTTCAGTCTTATCAGAATTTATTTCATAAATTATAGTATATGTATTTTCCCACAATTGATTATTTAATTCAAGAGAAGTACCTCCACTAGTTGCTTTGTGTTGCGAATTTTTAATAAGCAATTCTTGGACTAAAAAAAGAATTTTTTTTTACTAGAAAAAATTTTTGGGACGTTTTTGGAACCGAAAAAAATCATATATTGGGGACACCTTTTTATCTCCGCCAAGTCACTAAACACCCTTAGAAATTGAATACATAAATGAGAGAAAACCAAAAGTGAGAATGGGAGCGATAAGAGAGACAGAGAAATCCGTAAGATGGGCCGAACGGTTTCAAACTTTTCTTTGAATCCTATTTTGGATTTAGGGTCGAAAAAAAAGTTCTGATTGTCGGGGTATATGTGGCCCGGCCCATCCTTGATATACATCAGAGAGATGGGTCGGGTTTTAAAAAAACAAAGAAAGCTCGTTTCGGGTCGCCGGGTAACCAAGTCCATTCCCTAGTATACATAAATGACGCCCTCATAATTATTTTAAAAAATTCTCAAAAAAAACTACTAACCATATTTAAATAACGAAACATTTTCATCATTTAATTCAACCAAAACTTCTTTTTTTGCCATTTTTCCTTCTTTATTTTCCAATTTGTCTTCTTCACTTCCTTTTTCTTCTTCTCCAACATTTTCAACAACAACATTTTTCTTATTATTATTAACTTCCATTTTAAGATAAAGCTTTAATTGTAATTGCTTAAGACAAGATTTTTTAGGTTTAATTTGTTGTTGATTATTTGAAGTATTTGTTGTAGAAGATTGGTAAGTATTAAATTGAATATTATCGACAAGCTCAACTTCTTGAGTCTATAAAATAAAAAAAATTTTTTAAAAATTTTTTCAGAGACTTGAATTTTTTTCAAATTTTTAGACTAGAAATGTGAGGAAAAATGTATGGAAATGTACTCAAATATTTTAGGTGAAAAAAAAAAGAAATTTTGATATTTGATTATTCAAGCAACAGCGTTTTTAAAAAATAGAATTTAAAAATATTTTTTGACAAGGATAAAGGAGAAAATTAATTTTCTTCAAATTCCCATTCTAAAAATTAGTGGGAAAGTTCAATAGTCAGAATCGGACAAAAGTCATTTTCTGAGAAAACGAACATTTCATTAACGATAAGAAGTTAAAGGAAATAAACCGTATTTATGGGCGTCTTCGTCTTAAAATCATACCAATAAAAATATATCTCAAATTTTTTGGCTTCCCCTAGCAGAAATATTTCTTTAGAACGATTGGTCCCATACGAAAAATGCCAATAAAAATTTTAAAAAATTCTTAACAGAATATGCCCAGTCAACAAATAATAAAACAAAAATTATAAACCTGATTAACATTAGTTCTACCAGGTCTTGGATCAAAAGCTGGGATTAAAGCATCAAAGTGTTGCCTCAAAACAAATTCATCATTCCACCCACCATTATTATTATTTGTAGAATTTGAAGATTTATTATTTCCAGTACCTCCTCCTGAACGTATAGCACGTGCACAACCACCAGCAGAAGTTCTTTAAAAAAATAATTTTTCCCCCTTCCTTTCTATCAAAAAAAACATACTTATCACCAATATTTCCACCACTATTTGCTGCCAAAATTTCTTCTTGAGAAAACATTTGACGCCAACGTTTATGTGTATCTGAAGAAGAAGATCCTCCACTACCAAATATATGACCACCAAAAGCATCACCTCTTTCTATAATTGCACGAATTGCAGCTAATGCAGCTTGAGGATTACCAGCAGCTTGGCTAAAAATTGGAAAAAAAATTTCTCAAATTCTCATTGTCATAATTATAAAATTATATGTAATTCAGCCTTTTATTTTGAATCTCATAAAAAAGAGATGTAGGTGTATTGAGACCAAAGGGCGTAGCCAGGGAATAAGCCCCCCCCCCCGAAATGAAAGAAAGTGGAAAATTGGAAAAACTTTGGGAGTGAAATGAATAGTGGATGGATACTTACTCTTTCTTAAATAATTTTTTGACTAACCTAAAGCTTAACGTCCCGAGAATGAAAGTTTATTGTTCACAATCCCAAGAAAAAAATTTTTTCAAAAAATAAAATTTAACAAACCTGATACTCTCCAATGCAGCTACTGCTTCACTTAAAATACTTGTAGAACCAATACCATCACCAATAATATTTGAAGCTGTAGTTGTTGATGTAGGTATAATTGCTGTTGCTTTCTCTCCCGTATTACCCGAAGAATCTGAAGGAAGTGAAAAACCTCCTCCTCCAACAGTCTCATTTAAATCTACAGGTTCACATTCTGCTTCAATATAATATTGATTAAGTAATTCATCATCATAAATATCACTTTCAAATTCATTATCATCAACAAATGTTTCATCGCTAGTATCTCCACCTTCAATAACCTTGAAGAAAAAAATTTAAAAAAAATTTTCCTCCTTAAAACAAATTATTAACCTGACTCATCATATGTTTTAAAATATCAGTGTAACTCCCAATTTTTTCACGTATATTGCCGATACCAGAAGTAGCTCCAGAGCCTGATGCTATTAAAATAAATTTTTCATAATTCTGATTAAAAATTCTAATGGAAAATTCAGAGCAAAAATTCGTTTAAAAATTCTGATCAGAAATTTTGTCCAGAAATTCTGGTCATAAATTCTGATGAGAAATTCTGATTAGAGATTCTGCTAAAAATTCGGGACATAAATTCCGATCAGAAATTCTAATGTAAAATTTGATCAAAAATTCTGGCCAGAAATTCTGATCAGAGTTTCTGCTAAAAATTTTGGTGATAAATAATGATTTAGAATTCTGGTAAAAATTTTTGATTGAAAATTCTGATCAAAAATTCTGGCCAGAAATTCTGGTCATAAATTCTGATGAGATATTCTGATCAGAAATTTTGATGGAAAATTCTGATCCGAATTTCAGACAAATTTATCATGTTTCTAATAATTCTGATTATTTTTTCTGACCCTGATTAATACTCTGACGCATAATTCAACTACAAAAAGATACTTACTAGAAGCTTGTTGATCAGTTGTACGTCTCGGCATCATAGCAGATTTTCTTTGGCTATGTCTACTTCCACCACCCCCTCCAGTATTTGAACTTGCAGTTTTTGTAGAATTATTATCACCAACAATATCTTCTTCAGAACATTCAATTGCTGTTTTCAATGAGGATGTTTCTTCCTCAATAATAACATCACGCATTGGTATACCAACAGTAGCAGAAGAGTCAGTGGCAGTCAAATCAGAAGCTGTTTCAACAACAACGGTTTCATCTCCTTCTGCAGCATGTTCTGATTGATGGACTTCCACTTGCTCTTAAAAAAGATGAGTCTAATGCCAGCCCACATTTATACTTTTGACAGCGAAAAAAATTTTTCTTACAATGAGGTGTCTATTATATAGAGATCTAGGTGTGATTCAACCTCTCCACCGCCTAGGTTAGGTGACTCGCCCGACTCCAGAGGCTCTCTGGGGAAGGGAAAAATATAGCTGCCACATTTTAGCAACCCTCTTTCCTCTCCTAAAATTGAACCTTTGGATACGCCCTTATAACGAGCGTATATTGAATAGACTCCAGAGGCTATCGAAAAAAAACGTATCCTAAATCGAGGACTATCATAAAGTGAGGGATGATTTCAAATTAAATTTAGAAAAATAAACCCTTTATTTCACCTTCAATAAGATCTCCACCAAACAATTCTTGTGGCATCATAAATGGACCATCCATAAATTGTAAAAGATCAGCTACTTCTTGTTCATGTTTTTGAATAGATTCTTTAACAGAAAATAATTTTTAAAAATTCAAAGAAACAAAAAAACCGTTAATAGTATCAGTAGAAGATTCAGTACATTGTTGTTGATCTTCCTCTTCTTCTAAACGTTCACTCGACGAATCAACAGTGTGACAACGTTCTTTAGTATTAGTAAATGTGCTTGTATTGAGAACGGGTTGGGAACCGCCGGCAAATGAACTATAAAAAGAAATTTTTTTTATTTAATTGTTCTGATAGAAAATTCTGATTTCTGATGAATATTCTGATTTTTAAAAATTCAAGTTTCTGAGAAAATTCTGATTTCTGATTAAATTCTGATTCCTAAAAATTCTGACAACATTCTGACTTTTGACAAAAATTCTGATAATTCCCCCACAAAAAGCATTATTCATTTACCTTGCCCCAATAGAAAGTCCACTTTGTGCAGCAGCATCTTCACTTCCTTTTCTTTGATCAAATCTTCCAGGTAAATTTTCAAATGTAGGCAAAATTCTAGGCTCAGGACTGCCCGAATTTGGTGTTGCCATAGATTCTTCAGGAATACTATAATTATGTAAAAGTGCCTTTGAAAGTAAATTTTCTAGTGAAGGTGTTTGGTGTTGAAGTGATTCTGCACTAGCTGCTTGGTTGAATGCAGCAGACGAATTAACTTTAGAACGACGATCGGCCTGGAGAGAAGGAAAAAAATTTTTTTATAAATTAAAAAATTAAGTTAGACATCAATAAAATTAAACACCCAATACCCTCTCTAGGCCATTAGGTGGGAGCAGCTGTCTAACAATAAGACATACCCTTTATTTAAGGTACCCCCTCCAATTATAATATTCCCAATAAAAGAAACACCTCCTATATTAGACCCAATACAAAAAATGTTGGCTGGTCATAGGTTGGGAGAGCTGTCTAGACGATTCTCTCCATTTAAGGTCCCTCGCTATAAGAGACGACATTATTCAGACTCTATATTTTATCTAAAAATGAGGTCCGACTTAATAAACTTATTATTAAAAAACCCTAACATCAAAAAGATTTGTAGTAGACATAGATTTTTGTTGTTGTTGAGAGACATTTGATCCTTCATCTTTATTTGAGGTTTTCTAAAAAATTAAATTTCTTTAAAGTCTAAAAAACAAAAAAAAACCTCTGATAAATCCTTTTGTTGTAAACCTCCTCCTCCTCTTTGTGTTCTAGAAGATCCACCACTTGTTTTAGTACTAGATTTTTGAGAACCAGTAGTTAATCCAGACTTTTTTGAACTAGTAGAAGAAGAATATTTTCCTCCTTGTCTAGTCGGCATTTTTATATTTCCACCAATCTTTAAAAAAATTTTATTATTAAAAAATTTAACGACAAAAAATAGAGGTAGTTCAAGTATGTTTTTGAAAACAGACAATACTATTAGCACTTTTTTTTGATAATAAAACTAAACCAGAAATAGGACAGGTTACCTCTAACCCTTGACTGGAGACAGACTTTTTCGGATGCTGGAATTTTGGTCACCAGCGACTTTTTTGGATACCAATTAAAAAACGGAATATTGGGCACAAAATCTTGGACACCAAACGAGAAAAACGAATTTAAAGCTTTGATCAGCAAAGCAGATTGATCTGTGTACAACTTACAATTCGTTTTTTCCGTTTGGTGTCCAAAATTTTAGTGCCCAATATTCCGTTTATTAAATAATTGGTGACCAAAATTGAACAACCCCCAGTAAAAAAATAAAAAAACACAAAAAAACCTTTTCCAAACAACTAGAATCACGTGTACTCCACGGATTTGTATTAGCATTTATACTAGCTGCATTACGTCCATTATTAGCTTTTGTAGTTGTATCAGATTCCCCAGAAGTATTTTTCTTTCTTAAATCAGTTATATTTGTTGCAGCTGTTGAAACATTTGAAGCAATTTTTTCAACATATTTAGGCAATTTTCTTGCAATTCTTAATGATGCTGCAGTTGGTGGACGTGTATAATGTTGAAGATTTGTTGAAGTTGCTGTTGCGGTTGTTGTTGATGTTGAATTTTTTGAATTTGTAAAATGTTCATTAAGGTATGATTTTAATGCTGCAATTGTTACTAATGGTTCTGCTTTGAGTGAACGATTTGTTCTAAAAAAATTAAAAAAAAATTTTTTTATTTCATTAGGAGAAAACATTTTATCCCAAAATAAAGTTTGAATCAACGTGGCTTTATAAAATTCGTAAAAAAATTTTTTTGAAGGTTAATCCTACCCCTTTAAACTATTAACTCAAAAACCCAAAAATCAATAAAAATTTAAATAATTGAGTTTTTAAAAAAATTCTTAAATAAAAAGAGAAACCATTTCATCCCAAAAATTATTAAAAATTTAAAAAACTTTTTTAACAAAATTCAACAAAAACTTACATATCAACAAACTCTCTTTCGCTTTTTAAAGTTGTAGTAGTACCAGAATTCTTTTTCTTTGCATTTTCAAATCGAAAACGTAAACGTCTTGTTAAAAGTTGAAACCCAAAAGGACTTCCACCTGGACAATCATATAAAAATTGAGGAAATTTTTCCATTGATTCCAATACAAGGATTACAATGCGAACTAAAGCGCTCAAATCACGAGGATTAAAGAAAATCTGAAAAAGAAAATTTTTAAAATTTTTGAGACATTTTGTCCCAAGAAAAATTTTTTTAATGGAATAGAGTTGTCAGTTTCAACCCAAACCAAGGATTTTCGGCTCGGTTTACCAGTTAAAGTTAACCGAAGAATCTAGTCAAATCGACAACCTTAAATGAGATATTTTATCCCTAAAATTATTTTCGAAACATTCTATCCAAAACAACTCTTTGAGCGAGGCATTTTGCCAAAAACAAGCTCAAAAAAATTAAAGAAAACAAGAAAAACCTCAGTAAACATTTCAGCAAGTATTCCAGATGGATTTGCTTCAATTAATTTTACCAAATTTAAAAGAGCTGGAACAAGACCCGAAATTGAAATTTCAAAAATAGATAATTGACGATCATCAGATAAAGAAGAACGAATTTTTTTGAGTATTGAAACAAACTGAAAAAATTTCTATAATAAGTCTGAAAAAAATTTTGCGAATTTTTTCTATCCGCAAAAAAATTTGCGGACATTTTTTTCTATCTGCAAAAAATTTTGCGGATTTTTCCCCTATCCGTAAAAGAATCTTGCGGACTCTTTTCCATCCGCAAAAAATTTTGCGGATTTTTACAAAATAAAAGAAACCTCATTTTTACTCTTTTCCAAATTTTTTTCATCCTCTCCATAATTTTTTCCTTCCATTTCAACAATTTCATTTGCCAATTTATCCAAAGCTTCACAACATTTTAAAATTTCCTGGACTGCTTCTCTTGGTCTATCACATACTTCTTTTAAATAATTTTCCCAAATTTCTTTTGCTAATTCTCCAACTTTTTGTTTTTGAACTTCTACGCGGAAATATCGAAGGCGTCGACCACCTCCACGAGCGGCCCATCCAGTAACAAAATCGTGACCTATAAAAAAGTTTTTTTTAAGTTTTATAAGAGCGCTTGTAAAAGATTAAGGTATCTAGTTGAATAGAATAAGGATAAACTTAAATAAAATTGTAGGAATACCCACAAGAACGAATTAAAACTATTAAATTTTGAAGATTCCTTGTAGTGAGAAAAATTGGGTTGGACTGCTGTCCTTCGATCCAGGGCCCCCTTCTCGCTAAACTGAGGCCTAAATCCGTTCGCATCCAACCACACATCGGTAACTGCAAATTTTACTCTTGTTATTTCCAGCCGCTGCCTATTTCCTTATTAAGGGAAAGTGACCGAAAGAGTTTTAAAAACTGAGAGAAAAGGTCTAATGACCGCAGTGGAATAGGCAATTCGAATAAACAAATCGAAAAATAAATTTAGGGAAAGTTCACAAAAACCATACACACTACCCTCGAACGTCACAAGCTTCCTCCCAATTATTATTTAAAAGATTCCCCTACCCCCCTAAAAAATTTTTTTAAACTCAAAAAAACCTTCTCTCTTTTACATACCTAATGTAGATTCTGCAGTAAACATTTGTTTTTGTTGTCTACTCGATTCAAATACAAATCCTGGCATATCATCTTTTATTGTCATTTTTTGTTGAATTCCTTCTTTATTTGTAATATTTAAAGTATTTAATTCTGACGAATTTAAAAGCCAATTTCCAGATTCTAATGGTTTTGTTGTTTTTTCTGGACGAGGAATTGATAAAATTGAATGGGAAGGAGCGCCAACTGGGATTGAACTTTTTGCTTTTCTTATTTTTTCAAAAAATTCAGCACGAGTATCGGCATTATCAGCACCATATTCTGGGCTTCCACTGCTGTATAATGTGCTTAGGCGTCCATTCATTAAAAAACGTAGCCAGCCGTTTGAGCCGTCACTAGAAAATTTTAAAATTAATTAGTGTTTTCCTGGCCCAGAGAAAAATTAAAAACGAAATAGGGCTCTGGGAAATGGGTCCAACGGTTCAATCGCAGTTTTTAGAATCAGGAGATAGTCAAAAAGCCGCGGTTCCAACGATGAATAGTCGTCATGGAAGCAGGGAATATCAAAAAAAATAAGTCAAATTTGAATGCCTTTTCACCTATCCACTGATCTACTAAATTTCATCTTACACTATCTGGACCGGAAACGTGGGATTATTTTATTTTTCGGCTCCTAAGCAACACTGACATAAGATTGGATTAATCCTACGACCAATAATAATTATTTATTAAAAAATTAGAAAATTAAAAAAGAACCTTAATTCCAACGCAACAGCGTCACACCAAACAAACAAAGAGTCATTTGCACGAATTAGACGCCAATCACGCCAACGATAGTAAACACCGGGAGTTAAAGTCCAAACATCATCAGAACCAGCAGAAGCAGGAACGGCTGGAGTTGCTGTCGAAGTAGATTCTTTAGATTTAGACTCTTCAGGTTTGTTGTCAGTAGAAGCAGCGTCTTCGACAATTTGAACACCCAATGCCTAAAAAATATAAAAAAATTTAAGAGAAAAATAATAAAATCGGATATACCCTTTGGGTTGTAAAAATCGTAAATTGAAGTGTATCTATCTCAAAACGTAAAAAAGATTTAAGCTTACAAAATTAAAAAAAACGTCTTTTACTATAAATAGAGGCGTGAACCACAAAATAAGTGACTCCCCCGCTGCTAAAAAAATATTGTCTCTTATAATGGGTTATCTCTTAAACAGAAGGTATCGCTTGGACAGTTTCCCCCAACCGCTTAAAAGTCAAGAAAAACGTCTCTTAAATAGAGGTATATCTAAATAATCCTATGTATTATCTTGTAGCAAAGTCCATTTCTCTCCTGATCCTAAATTAAATAAACCCCTCGCCCTGCCTCAAAAAACTTCAAAAAAACCTGTGCAATAGTTGTAGCAGCCTCAACCAAATCGCTATTAAATATTTGTGTATCAATTTCAACACCTTCTTCCTCTTCTTCTCCAATCAAATTATTTTCTCCATTTTCAGGTTCTTCTTTAGCTGTAGAACAGGAAAGTCTTCGTTCATCAACAATTAATTCATTTGTTGGGGATGGAGTAATTTCATCATTATTTGCAGAATTTTGAGTATTTCTGGCAATGTTTAAATCAGTTGATGGAACTGTTGAATCAGAACGTAAACTAATTGAAGGTGTTGAAGATATTGACCTATAAAATAATTTTTTGAAATAAAATTTAAGTTAGCTCTCATATCCCCCAGTAACCAATAAAGTCAGTTCAAAAAAAGGAGGATCATAAATTAGAAAACAGGGGATGGAAAAGTCGGATAGAATAGCAAGACCAATTTAGGATTAACTCACATCAATTTGAGAGTCTATGAAAATAAAATTTTTATTCAGTTTTTACTGTGGTTCAAGGTATCGAATAATTACTTAAAAGCGACAAAAATCCAAGTTTAATAAAAAAATGGAATTCGAAGAATCCAGGAAAGCCCCATTCAACCCAATAAAGTCAACAGACTTTACCTCTATCTAATTTTAGGCGTTAGACTCTTAAGAATTTTTAATTCAAGCCCGGATATCCTTATCTAATCCTTAACGCCAGACTCTTAAAAATCGAAAAAAGGGATAAAAATAAGAAATGATGAGAAGGCAAGGGAAGATGAGAAAATTATTAGAAAAATTGCCAAAAAAATTTATAACACACAAACCTATTTGCTGTATATACAGAATTTGTTGAAATATTATCCTCTTCCCTTTTTTCACCACAAGACAAAGCTGCCAAATTATTATTATTATTTAATGCTGTTGATTCAGCAGTTCCTCCTCCTAAAGTTGTTGAAGACGAACAACCACCAATTTTATCTTCAAAATTATTTTCTTTTTCATTTGTTGTTTTTGTTGTTGTTTCTTCTGCTGCCTCTCTTGCCAAAATTTCAATTTTTTCATAAACACCCAATTTGATTAATTGTTCAGACCAAAATTTGGCATTTTTAAGTAGCAAAGATTTTATTATCTAAAAATTTAAAAAAAATTTATATGAAAAATGCTAGAGTAAAGATGCCCCAGGCAAAAAAAATCTGGACATTTTTCGATTAAACCGAGACCTAGATTAAACCGAAAATTTTTTCTATGCACCTAAAGGTAACATAGAACCTTAGGGTGTCCAGAATCTAAAAATTTCAAGGCTATAGTCCTAGTACGGAGTAAGAACTATTACGAAATAGAGGAATTGTCTCTTATAATACACTAAAAAATCTCTCAAAAATTTTTTTAAATCCCACTCTCTAAAAACATTTTCACCTAACAAGAAAACAACAAATAAAACAAACCAATAAAGCCTGTTCCTTAGCATCTACATTATTTTCTCCACTTTCCAAAATAATTATTAAAACACCAATAAGCATTTCAACAAAACCACTTTGTTGTTTTTGTTGATTTGTTGAAGCAAATTCATTTTTTGTAGAAATAACATCTAATAGGCCATCATTAGAAATATGAAAAATACTTTTGCGTATTAAAGTAAGTGTAACACGACGAATTGCAGTTGAAAGAGAAGACTAAAAAATTAAAAAAAATTAAATTTAAAATAAAAAATAAAAAAAAGGCTCGCTTCGGTCAAAGACATGATAGTCTGCCTGCAGGGGGTAATAAACCTAATAAATCTAACCTGGCTAAACTTTTGTATGATTTACTGAATTATTGTGTAAAATGATGAGTAGGGTAGACCCCGAGCCATCGGGGGCGGGATCGTCGGGATCGGGCTTTGACGATGTAGTCTTCGGAGTTCGGGTCGGGGTTTTTGCCAAAATAATGGTCGGGATCTGGGTGCTACCATAAGTTAGAGATCGGCACCGGAGAGCTCCTGTCCCGAAACTCAGAGTTATAAACAACGAAACGGGGTTAGCGGCTCCTCCTTTTCGGCTTCTCCTTTCCTTTTTTTTAATCAATCCTGCTGGATCCCTCCCGTTCAATCTTTTGAAAAATAGGAGTGGCACTGTCTCGAAACAGTTAAGGGCTTATGGAATGTGATTTGCCTATTTTTAATCTTATTTTAAAAAGAAAATTTCCTCCCTATTTAATTAACAAAAAATCAAAAACCTTGAAAATTGTACAAAAAATTGGCAACAATTGTTGAATAAAACTTTCAGCTAACCCAGGGTCTATATTTGTTTCTTCTTCAATTTTTACAGCCTCCTTTTGTTGTTCTTTAACTGTTGCTTGTTTTTCCTCCTTTTTATCTTGCTCTTTTAATGCTGCACAAGTAATTGAAGAGCTCATATAAATTCCTGGATTTGAAAGAATTTCACAAACAACTTGGTGAGCTTCATCATTGCGTTCACGAGCTTTATCTAATGCTATACGGCCTTCTTCCTTAAAAAATATTTTTTTAATCAGTTTACCAACCTTAAAAAATATTTTTGAAGTCAAACCTCATTAAAAAATAGACCAAGGCCCGTAACCAGAGGAGGATGGAGAGGATTCACCCTCCACACCTCCCGCCCGAAATGGGAAAAAAGAAAAATTTGGGGAGGGGAAACAAAAAAATTTTTGAGGAGGAAGAAAAAAGTAAATTCGGTTTTGGCCTACGGAAATCCAAAGTTCAATTCTTTCGACCTACGGCCCCCCGTCTAAAATTTAATTTTAGGTGCCTTTGATGACCGAGAATGATTTCTCCCAAAAAATCATGGTTACGGGCTTGGATAGACCCTTAGCTAAAAAATCGTTCTTTATAATTATCTTATAGTAAGATTCGATTTCAAAGGTCAATTAAAATTTTTTTTACATCTTGAAGGTCAGGATTAGCTCCATAACGCAAAAGAATCTTGACAATCTTTAAAAAAATAATTTTTATAAAAAAAATTTTAGTAAAAAACCTCAGCCCTTCCAAAACACGCAGCATAATGTAATGAAGACGACCTCAATCCTTTATTTGGATCAGCTCCTTTATCACACAAATAAATAACCATATCAGGTGTTCCAAAAGCTGCACACCAATTTAATAATGTTTGGCCTACATCGTCTGTCATATTTGGATCAACCTTTTGTAAAATTTTAAGGTGAAAAAGATGATACAAAAAGAAAATAAAGAAAAAAATTTTAAGAAAATTAAAAATTTTTTTTTACAGATTCATTTTCAACAGCGTCGATTAAAGCATCAGTGTCTCTTTGTCTAATCGAGTCAATAAGATTGCGATGTGCCTTGTCTAGAGAAGAAACAGCACCTTAAAATTTTGATTATTTAATTTTTTGATGAGTTAAAAATTCATGTAATCCCCAAAATTTCCACAAAAATTAAAAAAAACCTGTATCCGCAAACGAACAATGTTTAGAAATTGAAGCACGTCCTTCACAGAGCAAAACAAGCAAAAAATCAATAAAACGAAGGCAATCCTATTTTAATAAAAAAAATAGAAAATTAACAAAAAAATTTCAATAAATTTTTGAAAAAATTATTACATTTATACAACGCTCATCTTTACAATTGAGAACAACCCGTAAAGCAAAAACTAGCTTTGGAGAACTAAAAAGAGAAAAATTTTGAAGGATTAAAAAAAATTATAACATATAACGATGCAAAACGTTTTTATTAACCCAAAAGCTAGAAAAATACCAAACCCCAAAAGCTGTTGAAATACCAAAGTGACGAGAAAAAAGCTTGAAATACCATACCCCCAAAGTTCCAAGCCTTAAAAGTGCCAAAAAAATAAAAAAAAACAAACTGAAGAATTTCTGCAGTAACAGTCGGACTTGCTTTACACAAATTAGCAAATAAAGCCAAAACAGCCGAAATAAAAGCAGAATTACGTGAAAGCTCCATATTTTTTTCAATTTGTTTTTCCTTCTTTTCATCATCAGAAAAATTGTTTTTCTGTTCTGGAGGTATGAGCAAATCAAATAAATGTACAATTAAATTGCTAGGTCTAGCCAATTCTACAGGATCCATTTGACGACGGATAAAACGTTCGGTCATTGCAGCGAAACCTTAAAATTAAAAAAATTTTTTCGACACCTCAAAAAATTTTCAAAAATTTTTTCCAACCCTCGAAAAATTTCAAAAAAATTTTCGCCCCTCAAAAAATTTTTCTCGACACCTCGAAAAATTTTCAAAAAAATTTTTTCAACCCTCAGAAAAATTAATAAAAATTTTTTCCGAACCCTCAAAAAATTCCAACCCTCGAAAAATTTTTTTCAACCCTCAAAAAATTTTCAAAAATTTCTGAAAATTTAAAAAAAACTCCCTTACATCTCAAAGCACACTCAGCAATTTTTTCATCATCATGACTTAACAAATCGCCCAAATTTTTGCTATATTCAGACAAATTTGAGTCAAAAGGTTCAATTTTGGCACACAGTTTGGTGATTACAGCCATTGCAGAATGCATTGTGTCTTTGTGTAAATGGTCATGGTGGCTAGAAAAAATGAGGGATTAAAAAAATAATTTTAGAAAAGGAAGCGAGAAAGAAGTTTAAAAGGCTCGTAGTTATTTTTCTTAATGGAAATAAAAATCCGCAAGTCTATGTTGAAAAAATAAAACAGAAACGAGATTCTTGGAAAATGTGATATACGCCAAATAAACGATAATTACAAAAACTATCAGTAAGTATGGACAAGGAATGGATCCTTCCGAATTTTAAAAAGCGAACAGCAAAAAAATCGGAATTCTGCAGAAAGCAGTCCATCCCTGGTATGGAAAATGTAGATCAGACAGAAAAAAGAGTCCTTACAAAGTGAAAATGTAAAAATCTTTATAGAAGTCAAAGGAAAAAAATACCAAAAATTTAAAAAACCTCAATTACCTTATCAAGTGAAGCATTGCCTGTAAACCACCCGCATCATAAACAGCACTGGCCTCTCTTTGACAAATATGTTCCAAAAGTTTAACGCATTGTTCAGCTAAATCTTTGCTTGTTCTATCAGTCATTTTGGCAAGTAATAGCCTATTACAAATTGCTTTAATTGCTCCTTCAACTTGGGTAATTCGACGAGTACATTCATTTGAAACATCCAAATAATAGGTTATTGCTCGAGCGGTTACCTGGAAAAATTGTGAAAATTAACTAGAAGGCTTCAAAGTGAGACAAGGGTCCGCGGGGTAATTCAAACTTAAGAAGACTATTTATCTACCTCAGTTGCCTACCTCTGGCAACTAAACTCGACTAAAACGAGTTAAGACTGGCGAGTCAAAAGGCCTTAAGGACTAATAGGTCCGTGATTAAAGATTTTACTTATGGGTCTCAAAATCGAGCCAAGGGTCCGCTGGGAAATTCTAACTTAAAAGACCACTTTCATGGATCCCCAGCTCCGTTCTTTACCTTCGACAAATAAGGCTCTCATTATGAATAGCCAAGCCTTAAAGCCCAATATGTTCCCTATCCAAAATTTAGTCCTAATCTTTTTATTTTTAAATAAACCTCCAAAATATTTTCAGGCGCGCTTTCATCAATAAATATACGACCCAATGCAGGCAGAAAAGTGCGTGGAGGACAACTTTCAAAGCATCTATCAATATTATCGCTCATCAATAATGTCTTAAATGATTAAAATTAACTAAAATTGAACTTAAATTTAATTAAAAACCATGCACAACTGTTCAAGCGCCATTAATTGCATATCTCGTTCATCGCCAACACCAGTCTGTAGCCATTCTAATAATTCCATCCCGTCAACTACACCGGATTCCATAGGCTTTTTAACTCTAAAAATAGGGATTAATTAATAAAAATCAATCAAAAATACACGCTAATCCACGTAAAAACACAAAAAATAAATTGAAAACGAATTAAAAACAACGCGAGAAGGCAAAGAACGAATAGCCACAACTTTAAAATAGTCAAACAAAAAATCGATCGGGTTCAGTCATCGAACCCGTGACTTGACTACGTCATTAGAACACTACCCAATAGGCCACAGAGAACACTTAAATCAATTAAAATTACCCTACATAATTAACAAGTTTTAGGCTTATAACTAGGGTTGTGGCCCGTTTCCGAAAGTCAGGGAATTTGAGATATTTTTTAAAAAATTTCCCGCACCCCCGTGAAAAAAGAAAAAAAATTCCCCGTCCCCCCCCCCCCCCGTGGCGCTGCCTCCCCGGAAATTGTTCCCCTTGGCCCTCCCCCTTGGAACAACCCTACTTATGACGAAACTGATGACTTTAAACTTAATTAAAATCAAGAGTTACATATCGATGACAAAATTGAAAAGAAAAAATTAGAAAAGATAAACAATCTCTCTCGAATAGACATACATACACAAAGAACAAATCGTTAACTGCGACAAACTCTTCTTAACTTTGTGTAAGGGGTAAAAAACCTGACCCTATTCCACCTCTCTTAAAAGACTTTATTCCCTTCTAGAACCTTTTTTTGTTAAATTTGAAGAGTAGTTAGAGTAGAGCAAAGAATTTTTGAAACCAAATAAAAAATCGACAAAAATGTAAATATTTAAAAGTTTTTTGAAAGAGAACAGAAAAGCGTATAAGCATCTTTAGAGCTTTTTTTCCCTTCTTCTCCCAGCCCTTTACAAAACAGGCGCTTTCACTCATCACGAGTAATGGAAAGAAATAATTGCTTATTTTTCGCGACCACTTAGTCGCGACCACTTAGTCGCCGGCCACTTAGTCGCAGGCCCACTTAGTCGCAGGCCCACTTAGTCGCGAACTAGCTAAAAAGCAGTGTTGCACCGGAACCGATATTTTGACCGGAATCGGAACCGGATCCAATTTGAGTTCCGTATCCCGGAACCGGAATTTCCGATTTTCGAATTTTTTCATAAAATTTCGATATTCGGTTTCGATATTTTTGGATTTCTTTTGATTTTCGAGTTCCGGTTTTCGATAATTTTTTTTGTTTCGACGCAGCTCTGATCCCGACAGATCTCACTCCAAATCCCATTAATCCATGCAAAGTTTCGAAAATATTCCTCATTCCTCTTTAGCGCCGCAGGCAAAATTTTGTGAATTTAGGAAGGCCAAGTGAGTTTTGGAAAGCCAATCCAAGTTTGGAAAGCCAATCCAAGTTTTGGAAAGCCAAATCCCCAGATATTCAATCCCTATATCTGCTTTACACTATTTAATCCCTCGATATCACATCCAAATCCCTCGATATTACCTTTGATTTAAGTTTTAAGCGACCTGGAAAAAAGTACCTTCGCGACGAAGTGGCCTGCGACTAAGTGGGCCTGCGACTAAGTGGCCGGCGACTAAGTGGTCGCGACTAAGTGGTCGCGACTAAGTGGCCCGCGACTAAGTGGGCCGTACCCGTGTAAAATTTAAGGCTACCCTACAACTCATCCAATTCTCAACTCATCTAACACTAAACTCATCCACACGGCCAAAAACGCCAACTCATCCAATCCTCAACTCAGCTAATGCTTAACTCATCTACACGGCCAAAAACGCTCAACTCATCCAATCCTCAACTCATCTAATGTTTAACTCATCCACACGCCCAAAAACGCTCAACTCATCCAATCCTTGAAATATCGGCCGGTTGAGTCCCTAGCCGGTTGAGTCCCTGGTCAGTTGAGTCTCAACCGGCCCAAGACTCAACCGGCGGTAATCAACCACTCAAACGGCCGGGACTCAACTGACCAGGGACTCAACCGGCTAGGGACTCAACTTGTCATGGACTCAGACGGCCAGAGACTCAAACGGCCAGGGACTCAACTGGTCATGGACTCAGACGGCCAGAGACTCAAACGGCCAGGGACTCAACTGGTCATGGACTCAGACGGCCAGAGACTCAACTTGTCATGGACTCAGACGGCCAGAGACTCAAACGGCCAGAGACTCAAACGACTGGTACTCAATAGTCTCGTTCCAAAGGATTGGATGAGTTGAGCGTTTTTGGCCATGTAGATGAGTTAAGAATTAGATGAGTTGAGGATTGGATGAGTTGAGCGTTTTTGGGCGTGTGGATGAGTTAAGCATTAGATGAGTTGAGGATTGGATGAGTTGAGCGTTTTTGGCCGTGTGGATGAGTTAAGGAATTTTAGCCGTTTAGATGAGTTGAGCGTTTTTGGGCGTGTGGATGAGTTAAGGATTAGATGAGTTGAGCGGGCACGAAATTTAATGAACAGGTGCTGTCTCTCTTCTTTTTACGAACTATTTCTTCCTCACATTTCTCTTCTAACGCAACAGAATGTCTAACTTATTTCTTTGTGTTTTTTACAAAAGACCTAATTACGAAATGCCAGTAAAGTTTGTAGTACCTATAGAATGCCAAAATTTAAATTGGTCCATTAACTTTTCGCCACTGGACATTTCGTCGTTATGACATAATTTCTCATTATTTAAAAAAATTTCCAATAGTGATCCATTCTTCTGGCATTTATTGCTAAGGGCTTTTGCTCAAGTACAGTTGCTCTACCGACTTGCAGGAACGCTGCTTTAATCTCTTTAAAATAAATTTTGAACCTTAGCCTAGTAGGCGTTTTAAATGATATTTAGCCTATTTTCCGTGCATATTTTGCTTTATCTCTCCCTATGATGCAGAAACAGCAACTGGATACTCCTAGTCTCTGATAAAAATTATTTTCCGGAAGACGATAAAATATTATATTTTTATTTATTTCAAGTTAATCTGAAGCAAAAAAAGTTTATAGATAAAAAACAACAGCAGTCGATTTTTAACACAAAGAGAGGAAAACACTTCTTCTCTCTCTCATTCAAACCAAACCACATTTTATGTTAAAAACAAAATAATAAAAATATAAAGTGTTTTTAATCAGTTTTATTTACCAAATGTTTTGTCAGTCTTTGTCAAATAAACAAAAAATATTATTTTTTAATTTAATTTTCAGAGGAAATTTTGGGGAAGAAATTAAATAATATTTATTTTTCCTCTCAAAAATGACTGATTTTGTGAGTTTTTCCCTTATAAAATTTTAAAAAAATAAAAAAATAAAATTTATTAGCCAATCCCCTTCCATCACCAACTTGTCAATTTCAAATTACCCACTAAAATTCATTTCGGTGGAAATATTCCGGAAGGCGCTAACCGGTTTGAAATTGACTTGAAGAGCACTGAGGGAGAAATATTCTTTCATTTCAACCCTAGATTTAGTGTAAGTAAAATACTTTCAGAATTTATTTTTGTATTTTCCGGAAAATCAGAATTAAATTAAATATAACTATCAGAATTTATGTATTATTATACTATGAGTAATATAACCTATAAATTATTGTGTTTTCCGGAAAATAATAATAGTAAATTATTTTCCGGAAAAATCAGAATTTTAGTTATTTATATATTTTCAGGAAAAAATCAGAATTTTAGTTATTTCTTTATTTTCCGGAGAAACCAGAATTATATATTGTTATTTTTATATTTTCCGGAAAAATCAGAATTTTAATTATTTCTATTTTCCGGAAAAACCAGAATTTTAATTATTTATATATTTTCCGGAAAATCGTCAGAATTTTATTATTTCTATTTTCCGGAAAAATCAGAATTTTTGTTATTTCTATATTTTCCGGAAAATCAGAATTTTATTATTTCTATATTTTCCGGAAAATCAGAATTTTATTATTTCTATATTTTCCGGAAAATCAGAATTTTAGTTATTTCTATATTCTTCCGGAAAAATCAGAATTTTAGTTATTTCTATATTCTTCCGGAAAAATCAGAATTTTAGTTATTTCTATATTCTTCCGGAAAAATCAGAATTTTAGTTATTTCTATATTCTTCCGGAAAAATCAGAATTTTAGTTATTTCTATATTCTTCCGGAAAAATCAGAATTTTAGTTATTTTTATATTTTCCGGAAAAACCAGAATTAACTTATTAATTAAATAGGTATGTATAAAAATCAGAATTTGAAGAGAAATAACTATAATTAATTTTCCGGAAAGCATGCGTATTATTCTATTAACGAAATATTTTTGTATTTTCCGGAAGAATCAAAATTTTATCTATTTTTATATATTTCCGGATGTTAATTTTTGATTATTCTAGGAAAACTGTGTTGTTCGTAGCAGCACAAAAGACGGGCAACAATGGCAAGCTGAAGAACGTGACGGTGGAATGCCTTTTGCTATTGGCAAGCCTTTTCTTCTTGAGATGTTAATTGAAGAAAATGGGATTAGTGTAAATTAAATTTTAAATTAATCGGAATTAATTAAAAAAAAAATTTTTTTTGTGTTCTGTCGACGGCAATCAATTTTGCTTTTTCAAAGCTCGCGACAATTTGGAAACTTTAATTTCTGTGGAAGTGGTAGGGGATGTTATGTTGAACAATTTTAATGTTACTTGTATTGGTTCTGTTGGTGAATGACTTAAACCAAATTTAAAAATTTTTTTAATTCAAAAGTTGATGAACCTGCAGGGAAGGTACCTAGAGAGGTTGGTGGTGGAGGAGAAATCCCGGAATATACCCCAACAGAACCTGTAGCTCCTGTTCCTGGTCCGCAAGGACAACTGGTATTAAAATTGTTTAAAAAAATAAAATTTAAAAAATTATTTATTAGCCAATACCCTATCAAGGACCATTGGATACTCTTTTAACTACTAATAGAATGGTTAGAAAAAATTAATTTTATTTGAAAAAAATTTATTTAGCGTGTTGTTGGCACGCCTCACCCTGGCGCTCAACGCTTCACTGTGAATTGGAAATCTGCCGATGGAGAGACTTTGTTCCACTTTAACACGCGTTTTGATGTATTTTATTAATTAATAAAATCAGAATATATTTTCGCTTGATATGAGTCAGAATTTTTAAAAATCAGAATTTAGTTAAACAGAATTTAATCAGAATTTAAATAGAACATTAAAATCATTAAATAACGGGCAAAAATAATTATACAAATCAGAATTTAAAAATCAGAATTTTTAATTTTTTAAAAATCAGAATTATTAAATCAGAATTTTTTTAATTTTAAAAATCAGAATTTTTAATTTTATAAAAATCAGAATTATTAAACCAGAATTTTTTTTAATTTTAAAAATCAGAATTTTAACAAAAAACATAGTTACTCGTACTAAATCAGAATTAAAAAAAATTAAAAACCAGAATATCAGAATTTAATTTTTCCGGATCAGAAATTCTAATAAACAATAAATTTTTAAAAATCAGAATTTTATAGCAAAACTGCATTGTTCGGAATGCTACCGTAGACAAACAATATCCACCAACTAGTGAAGAGCGGGAAGGGCCTGGATGTCCATTCCATGTAAATTATTTTATTTTTTAATTATTATTCTGATTTTTCAATTTTATTCTGATTTATTTTAGCCTGGGAAACAGTTTGCGTTAGACTTTCTTTTGCATGGAGACATTATTCGGGTTGGAAAAAATTTTTTTTTTCAAAAAAAAATTTTTTTTAATTTTAGTGCTTCGTAGACGGCATTGAATATTGTCGCTTTCAAGTATTTTTAATTTAATTAAAATAAAAAATTAATTGAATAGGCCCGTGATGACCTTCACAAAGTCGTTCTTTTGGATATTCACGGAGATATAGCACTTGATCAAGTTTTGATTGCTTGAATAATAGAGGAGAAATAAAGAAAATATTGAAAATTTTGAGATAAAATAAATAAAAAGACGACTAAAATTAATTAAAATTCTATTTTTCGAATAAAATCAAGAAAAAAATTTTTTATCAAATGTAATTGCCATATGTATAGGTAATTTATCATTAATTAGGCACGTAATGCCACGGCTTGGCACCACACTCCACCAAAACGAACGTTACAATACCCATCCCCGCTCGAACTAAAATACATATTTTGTGGAAGCAAAAAATTATTTTGTTCTGAATTTTCCGTCTTTTCCTCTTTTAATGTTGCTATAGCGGAAGTTTGTATTTGTTCTGGTTTTTCTTGGTAAATTGCACAATTTACTAAAAATTTGCTGTTATTGTTGTTTCCAAAGCGGTTATGCAATGCTGTTTGGATTGATGTTAAGGAAGAAATAGCATCGCCGGCAATCATTGACTTTAAGTTAAAAATCAGAATTTAATATAATCCTTTAAAAATTCCTTACAGAATTCATTAGCTCACGCCACTCAATTTGTGGACATGGAACTTCATTGCTCTTCAAGTGCGGCATTACCACCTGTTTTTAATGCAAAAATATTATTTTTATTAATTCATATTTTGTTTAACAAAAGGACCTCTCTCTTTTTCCTTCCGCAGCAAGGCATACAACAACCTAAGAATAAAATAATTTATTAAAAAATAAGAAGGATCACCCTAAAAAATTTTTTAATTATCAAAAAACTTTTACAAACCCCCTCCTCCTCCACCCCCGCCACCACCGCAGCAACATCCACCTCCTCCTCCTCCTGTTGGAAAACCGATAGAGCTAACTAGTGCCATAAGGAATGAAGAGAATAGAATTATTAATAAAATTTCTTTAGTTGAAAGCATTTTAAAGAGATGGAAACTTCGCTAGAATAATTCTGTAATGAAAAGAAATGGACGATTATTCCCTTTAAATACCCTCCCCCAAAGTTGCTATCCGGAAAAATAACTATAAATTAAATCAGAATTTATGTCAGAATTTTATTTATTATAAAATCAGAAATTAAACTTTTTTGTATTTAAATAAACCAGAATTAAGGCTTAAACAAAGTTTAAATTCTGGTTTATTTAAAAATAAAAAAAGTTTAATTTCTGATTTTATAGTGGTGTTTATATAAATAAAAATAAACTTTTTCTATAAAACCAGAATTAAAACTTTTTTTTAATTAAATAAAACCAGAATTTAAACTTTGTTTACAATAAGGCAGACAGTAAAAAAAGTTTTAAAAAAATTCTGATTTAAAAAAAATTCTGATATTTAAAAAAAATTCTGATTTATTTTTATTTGATAGACTGTTGGTAAAGTACAATAGCGCTCTTGCTTAACGACCAGAATTAAAATAAAATAAAAAAATAATTTGTTTCAACGAGAATTTATATAATCATTTCAACATTAATATTAATCACTTGTTTAACCTAGAAGAGATATATTTTTGTCATTTTTTTTAAAATTTATTTTTGACTGGAAGAAAAATTGGGTAAGTAAAAGCTGCGCGCTTTTACTTTTTTATGGGGAAAACCGGCGCTAATAAATCATTTTCAAAATTAATTTTTGGGTGATATGAACGAATAAATTCTTTCAAGATTTATTGCAAAATTAAAAATTAAGGGTTGATCGGTTAACTAAAATTAAAGAAAAATCCGGAAACTTTAAAAAAGAATTTTTGTCAACAATTTATTAAAGCAATAAAAGTAAAGATTCCGGAAATATGTACATATTATCTGATTATACGTATTAACATATATACCAGAATATTATTTTCAGAAAATTAAAAAAATTTTTACATAAAATTTTGAGTTATCATCAGAAATATTCAAAAATAAATTCTGATTTTTTAAAATAAAATTCTAATTTTAAAAATAAAATTCTGATATTTTCAGAAATAAATTCTGATTTTAAAATAAAATTCTGATTTTAAAAATAAAATTCTGATATTTTCAGAAAATAAATTCTGAGTTTTTAAAATAAATTCTGATATTCTTAAATAAAATTCTATATTTTCAGAAAATAAATTCTGATTTTTATTTTTTAATAAAATTCTGATTTTTGAGTTTAAATTCTGAATTTTCCGGAAATTTCTTTTCAACTCTTTCCGGAATAAAAATTCTGATTTCTTTTCTTTCAGGTTTATTTTCCTTGAAACAATACTTTTAAAAATTAAATTTATTAAAGAATAAAATTGACATATAAATTACCATTAAATTAAGTATTACAGCATTTTAAATTAAAATTAAAAATAAAGTCAAAATCAGAAAAATAAATTTGTAAACTAATTATTACCAATAAATTTATAGGGAATTAAAGTGCTTTTTTATTCAAAATTTTTGCGGACATTATTTTACTAGGGAAAATTTAAAATATTTTAAAATAAGCACTTTAATCCATTACAAATTATTATATAATCTTTATTATCAAGTATTTAAATTAAATATTAAAATAAATTAAAATTAAAGTCATTTGACAATAGAAAACAAAAATATCCGCACATAAAATGAGATTCCTAAATTACAAAAAATACAAAAATAAATTCAAATTTCCTGTCTAAACCTAATAGAAAGGCTTATAACCGTAGGTTTTAACATACGTAATGTACCAATGCCCGATATTATCCTCGTCATCCTTTCTGCACTTATATTCAATGGTTGCACATATTTTTCTACCCAAATGCTCTTTTTCTAACACATTTAATTCGTCGAAAATGTCCTTAAAATCCGGAAATTATACATATTATTCTATTATTTGTTCCGGAAAGTATTAATTCTGATTTTATTTTACTATTCCGGAAAGAATATAACTCTGAAAAAAAAATAAATTTGGAGTTTCTGGAAAAATATTAATTTTAACAATATGTAATAGAATAATTCTGATTTTTCCGGAAAATCAATTTCTGATTTTATTTTATTGCTCCGGAAAAAAAAATATATTTTCCGGAAAGAATATAACTCTGAAAAAAAAATAAATTTGGAGTTTCCGGAAAAACAACTTCTGATTTTATTTTACTATTCCGGAAAAATATATCTCCGAAGAATATAAATATTTTCCAGAATATAAATTCTGATTTTATTTTTCCGGAAAGAATATAACTCATAATTATAGTAATTAAAATTAGTGGTATTTCCGGAAGAATAAATATATAGTTTCCGGAAAACACTAATTCTAAAAATAATTATGGAAATTTAATTCTGATACTTCCGGAAAATTAGATAATTTCTGATTTTATTTTAAATGAAATTTTATTGTTCCAGAAAAATACATTCAATACTTTCCGGAAAAATTAATTCTGATTATTCTGATATTAACAGTTTCTGTTGTATCAGAAAATAAATTGTTTTTTTTAAATTCTGATTTAAAATTTTGATTTTGAATCCTTTTTCTAATGCTTCCGGAAAATATAAATCAATTTTATATTAAATAACCTGAATAAAATAATTTTTCTTGTTAACAACAAAAGGTTTGTAAAGCTTTGTATGAATCCTCGCATTTTTATCCACCCAAAAATCTTTATGAATAATAATGTCACATTCCATCTAGAATTTTGAAAAAAAATTTTTTAATAGAAAAATTAAAAAAAAATTTTCAAAAAATTTTCAGAAAAATTTTTCAAAAATTTCCAAAAAAATATTTAAAAAAATTCGGAAATTTTTCAAAATTTCCAAAAAAATCAAAAAAAAAAATTTTAAAATTTTTTTAAAAATTTCCTAAAAATTTTTCAAAAAAATTTTTTTATTTTAAAAATAAATCACCGCCACTTTCCCCAAATAGGGCATCGTCAAAAACCATTCTTCATGTCGACGGAATGTCTGTGAATTAATTTTTCCTGTTATCATATCACTTAAAAATTCAAAAAAACTTTTTTTTGAAGCTTCCAAAACTCTCTTCAACTTACTCATTGTCAATACAAATCCATTCCCCCAAATCCAACACTTTAGCCGTGCACAATTCCAATTCTGCCGGGTTGTCTTTTTCGGAGCAAAAGGGAAAAACCAAATAAGTATTTTCGAATAAACCGGTTCTGTTCGATTTTTCTCTGCTTAAAACATTCACAATTACAGCTATAGTCTGCAGACGTGGATTGAAGACTTTGCGGCTTTTAACTGTTCGAATTTTTGGTTCTGAGAAGCCAGTCATTTAATTTAAAATTTTAATTGAATTTTTTATTTAAAATAAATTTAAGTATGTTGCCTATCAAACAAGAAAATCGAAAGATTAAAAAAATAAGAAAAAAATTTTTTTTGTGGACACGCCCAATTAGGCGCACGACCATAACGGCGCAGAGCCATAACTTGCTGGAAAATTTTTGGCCCTTATCAATTTTGGTACCAATCTCTTTAGCTCGACGAGAGGAATCGTTTAATACCAAATTTGGTAAGATTCTGAAATTTTGAAGCAAGTTATGTCTCTGCGCCGTTATGGCCGCGCGCCTAACTGTACCCAAGAATTTTTGTTGTAAAAAATTTTGTTGTAGTGAAAAGAGTATGTAAATTGAAGAGAAAAGATAAAAACAATTACTCTTTAGTTTATTTGGCATTCTGTTTTATTAAAATGACATTTGGTCCAATTTTTCGTGAAAAGACGTTTTAAATATTCTTAGTCAATTTTCATACGGGCCCGGATTCCGGATTTTCAGCTTGCGCAGGACTGGATCCGGTCGGGTTTTTCTTGATTAATCCGGCCCATAAAAAATCTTGCGATTGCGAAGACTACGGATTGGGGACTCGGACTCCGGAAAAATCTGGCTGGATCCGGTCCGGCGCTGGGCATTACTAAGTGTTTCTCTTATCTAAATCTCGCGTTGTTTTCCGGAAATAAATCAGAATTTATTTTCCGGGTACAAAGTTTTTCATGTTATTTATAAACGAGTTGAGAATAGCTAGAAGATTAGTCTGAAAAAGAAAAAAATCTTTTTATTTTTGCTGTAACTTAAAAATTAATGGAATAATGTATGCTACATACATATATATTTTTAATTTTGTTCTAATAAATTTCATCCTCCTCCTCCATTTCTTCATCATACATAAGTTCCTCGTCCTCCTCATCTTCACAATCAACAGACCTGAAAAAAAAATTTTTTTTCTAATTTTAAAAAAATTATTTAGCACCTATAGCTTGGCTCATATCCACTACTCGGTTCGGTGACCACAATTTGTGGCAGAGCCGAAGAGCAGCGATGCTTTCCACTGATACCGTCACTTTTCACTGGTACATTGACTGATCCTTTCTTTATCAATTTCTCACGAAGTCCAGTTCCTGTAGCTTTTACCTTTTTTAAATAGATTTATTTTTACGAATATTCTATACATAGGACCTCACCATAAGATACCCCCTTTGATTAAAAATCTAATGAAATATCGTGCTTTATAATGTGATGTATCGTAAATAGAGGGTATCACCCAATGACCAACCAAATTTTTAAATAAACGTCTCTTAAATAGAGGGTGTATCTAGTATTGAGTATTTCTTATGCCGAGATCCTTCTCTTAAGATGGATATCTTAAATAGAGGGTATTGTTTAGAGAGCTTCTCCACTGAGTATCCAATAAATAAAGGAGTATCTAATATTGGGTGTATCTTATAGTGAGGTATGCCCATTTCTTACCAGTAATGAATTAACTCTGTTCAACTTTTTCCTTTCTTCCCTTCCTTTGAACACACTGCTATTACTGCTTCTACTCTTCCCGCTACTGCTTCCACTACGTTTCCTTCGTTGCGCATTTTTACGGGCTATCACTCTTTTCCGTTCCTTAATTACACCTCCAGCCCTTAATAAACGCTCAATGCAAAAGCTACGGCAAAGGTGTGAGCGTAGAGCAAAGTGAACCCCACAGGCGATTGTTACGAAGCAAATACAGAAAACGATAAATAAAATTGTTGGGTCGAGCTATAAAAATAGAATTTAAAATCAGAATTTATTTTCCGGAACATAGAAAATATATTTTTTCTTGAACTTAAAATTAAATTCCGGAAATACCAGAATTTAATCATTTATTTCTGGTATCAGTTTCCGGAATATAAATACCTAAATAAAATTTTATTTTCCGGAAAAAATCAGAATTTATAACTTTCCGGAAAAATCAGAATTTATAACTTTCCGGAAAAATCAGAATTTTATTTTTTCCAGAAGAAATCAGAATTTATATATTTTCCGGAAAAATCAGAATTTATATATTTTCTAGAAAAATCAGAATTTATGCATTTCCGGAAAAATCAGAATTTATATTTTCCGGAAAAATCAGAATTTTATTTTTTCCAGAAGAAATCAGAATTTATATATTTTCCGGAAAAATCAGAATTTATATATTTTCCGGGAAAATCAGAATTTATGTATTTTCCGGAAAAAAATCAGAATTTATGTATTTTCCGAAAAATCAGAATTTACATATTTTCCGGAAAAATCAGAATTTACATATTTTCCGGAAAAATCAGAATTTTTAATATAACTATAAAGCACAAACTTGACAGCAATCCACACCACAACACCAAGACCAGTATTGTGAGCAGTGAAAAAACAGTTGAATAAACGAAGATGGATTGCCACCGGGAATACCATCTTCATAGGCTTAAGAATATTAAATAATTTAATTTTTTATTTAGAAAATTAAACTACCTAAATAGAAAACTTCATTAGAAGGCACTTTAACTCTGCATACTTGGCCTATGCCTACTTCAATTTGACTGGTTTCACTTAATTTTTTCAAAATATTTTATTATTTTTTTAATTTCATTCTCCGTTTAATAATTAATTTTATTTTCCCCCAAATTTTACCTTCCATACTCCGTTCCCATTTTATTTTTGTCTGCTTCACCAGCGCCGTTCTCTCCAATTCCATAATAATAATATAATTGTGTAGGTCTACTTATTAAGTGAACAATTTTGTGTTCATCGACACTACTTGATTTCAATATTTGTGAAGGTGATTCGTTGAATATAGAGGCAGAATTGACGTATGAAACCATATTTATTAATAGTATGCCCTAAACTTTCCCGAATTATTAGTATTTCAATAATATTGTAAGGCTGAAAGGTGTAATCCTTGAGAAACTAATAAAAACCCCGCCTAGAGAGAAGGTGCAAATAAGCTAAAGGAAAATAGGGAAAAGCGGCTTAGTTGACGATCATTCCAACTTAGTTCCTATTCAATCAATGGCCTAGTGTTCGGTCGGCCTAGAGCCTGACCAAGTGGTATACCAACAATCATTCACCCCGCTCGCTTGCGCTACCTCTGGCAATTATTCACCACACGCATTTCCATCAACATCTTCTCTCTTTAATTAGGCTGGGCCCCCTAATTAAATTATTTACTATATTTTCCCTTAAGCTTAATTCGGTAAATATATTTCCGGAAATATATTTCCGGAAATTATTTTCCGGAAGGATAATTCAAGTTAAATGTATTTTTAAAATTGTAAACCTTTCCGGAAAAGTTTCCGGAAAGTTGTAATTTTATAGTGTATTTTAGGTTTGTAATTTAAATAATAAAAATGTGTTTTCTTCCGGAAACTTTCCGGAAACCTCTTTTAAGTTTGCGGTTTTTAATACAAAAATGTGTTTTCGTAATTTTACGATTTTTAATGTAAATGTGTTTTCCGGAAGCTTTCCGGAAAGTTTAATTTTATTTAAATATTTTTAAGATTGTAATTTTGTAGAGATGTATTTTCCGGAAATTGCAAACTTAAAAGTTCTCGGAATACTCTCTCCTAAAATTATAGTCTCCTATTTTGACTCAATTACACAGAGGTGGGTTGGAATTCTGACTTCCGACGTTTTTTCCTTCCGTTTTCCGAAAAAAATTTTGATTTCCGAGTTCCGAGTTCCGAACTTTGAGCCAGTGTCTATTTCCGGCTCTTCCAAGTTCCGACACCTCTGACTTTTCCGACCCACCTCTGCTAAATTAATTCTCTCATTAGCTAAAAAATAATTAAAGCAAGGGCGTATTTTTTACCCTTAAAATTATAACATTTAAATATTTTTTTGGATTTAAATTTGACAAATAAAAGTAGCTAAATAACAATAAACAAATTTTACAAATGTTTAAACAAAGTCAGTCAACCTAAATTTAATTTGAGGCTTCAAAATAGCGTTAAAAAATTTTTTTTATTCTTTTTATCACGAAGAATATTAAATTTATACAAGTTTTCATCATTTCAAGTTTAAAAGAATAAAGAAAAAAAGTTTTTTGACTTAATTTAATTTACAAAAAAATTTGAAAAATAACAAATAATATTTGTAATTAAAAAGCAGATTTTTTATGTTTAATCTTTTTTATATATTATAATATAAATGTATTTTTCCGGAAACTTTAGGGTAAAAGTTTACAATAGAAATGTATTTTAGAACCTTTCCGGAAAACTCTTCCATAATCAACTTTCCGGAAAACTTAAGTTTACAATTTTAAAATAAAAATGTGTGTTTTCCGGAAATATCGGAAAAATTATTTTAATTACCTATACACTTGTATTATAGAATAGTTTCCGGAAACTTTCCGGAAACTTATTTTAAGTTTAAAATTTTATTATAAGTGTATTTTCCGGAAAACTTCTTTTAAGTTTACAACTTTAATGAAACTGTATGCTTCCGGAAACTTTCCGGAAAACCTATTTTAAGTTTACAAAAGGTGTATTTTCCGGAAAACTTTTTTTAAATTTACAACCTTAATATAGAAATGTGTTTTCCGGAAACCTATTTTAGTACAAAATGTGTATTTTTCCGGAAAACTTTCTATAGGTAATGTGTTTTCCGGAAACTTTCCGGAAGCTTACTTTAAGTTTAAAATTTTATTATAAATGTATTTTCCGGAAAACATATTTTACTTTTACAATTTTTAATGAAACTGTATGCTTCCGGAAACTTTCCGGAAACTTATTTTAAGTTTACAAAAGGTGTGTTTTTCCATAAAACTTTTTTTATGTTTACAACCTTAATATTGGAATGTGTTTTCCGGAAAATTTTCCGGAAAACTTTCTTTAAGTTTACAATTTTACTATAAAAATGTGTGTTTTCCGGATACTTATTCTTATAAGTATAATCAGTTCATCTTCTGATTTATCCATAATTGTAATTATAATTGTAAGGGTAGTAGTAATTATTGTAGCCATATCCTCCATTATTATAACCACCATAACATCCACAATTATATCCATACCCACCAGTATAACTTCCATAACCCCCTCCATAACCATATCCTCCTCCATAACCCCCTCCATAACCAGCTAAATTGCCCAAAATCGTTCCACTTGTATAACTATCAGCATAACTTGCCAGGCAATTTTTATGGCCAATAAATATAAAAAAGAAGAGAAAAAGGACAAAATTAATTTTTATTGAGAGGAGCATTGCTTTGGAGATTTTTAAAAATTTTTTTGAGGTTCATACAAAAATGAAGGTGCTTTTAAATGGAAAATTTTCTAAGGTTTCCCCATTAACTTTTTAATTTTTAATTGGATTAAAAATTCTTTTCCCCCTAAATTTGACTATATTTACAAGTGTAGCAGATATTGAACTTTAGTTTTCCCAGTAGTTAACATTTTAAAAATAAAAAATATTATTTTTGTTTCCTTTTCTAAAATTTTATTTTCTGTTAATTTTTAACGCTTGAATTGTATAAAACTTTTGTGTTTTAATTTTTATTTTTATTTTCTAAAAATGGAATTGCATATTGGAATTAAAAGGACATTTTATAAATCATTGCACATTAATCATTTGCAAGAGATTTAATAAAAGAATAATCAGTGTTACTTTTTTTTAATTTATGTTTTAGACTATTAGATTTTTCTGGGAATATTTCTGGGAATATAATACATGTTTATTATAATTAGTTTTCCGGAAAATATATTATAATATTATCTTTCAAGAAAATACAATATTATGTACATATAACTTAATTTCCGGAAGAATACATAATTTATTCAGAGATAATTGTTTATTCCGGAAATATATGTAATATTCATTTTCCGGAAATGAGTATATTATAATCTATCGGGAAATTAGATATTTAAATATTTTTCCGGAAATAAAGACAATATATTTTCCGGAAAAATATGGGTAATAAATTCTATATTTCCGGAATAAACAATTATCCCTGAATAAATTATATATTTTTCCGGAAAATATATTATAACTTTGTTTCCGGAAAAATATTTAAATATTTAATTTCCGGATAATATACTTATTTCCGGAAAATAAATATATGTACATATATTTCCGGAAAATAAATTATTTATAATTTATTTTCCGGAAAATATATTTTTTTCCGGAAAGTATACACAACTTAGTTTCTTTAAATATAACCCATAGTAGTTAAGTACATTCGTTAGCTACCATTTTTAATTCTATTAATCACGAAATTCATCGTTGACCTTTCCTTCAAAACAGTCTCATTTATTAAGCAATATTTCCTTTTTTTGTAAAAATAAATTTAAAATTAAACAGTTGGTTATCCTATTAAAAAATAAAAATAAGAAAATATGTAAAGAAACAATAAAAAAAAAGATTTATGGCTAATTGTAAGTGAAATGTGAAGGGAAAAATCAGAATAGTTATTTATTTGAACAGCTAAACAACTTTTTTCCGTTTTATGGTGATAGGAATAAAATAGAAGCTTAAAAATATATAGGACACAATTTTGTTTAAATTTGGATACTTTTTTGCTAATTTTCTTTTTTTTTTAAATTAATTGTTTGCCCAAATGTAGACGAAAAAATTTAATAAAGAAGACAAAATAAATTCTGAAAAATAAATTCTGATTTATTTTAAATTCTGAAAAATAAATTCTGATTTATTTTAAATTCTGAAAAATAAATTCTGATTTATTTTAAATTCTGAAAAATAAATTCTGATTTATTTTAAATTCTGAAAAATAAATTCTGATTTATTTTAAATTCTGAAAAATAAATTCTGATTTATTTTAAATTCTGAAAAATAAATTCTGATTTATTTTAAATTCTGACAAAATAAATTCTGATTTACATTATTATTTATACTTTATTTTCCGGAACTACAAATCAGAATTTATAGTCCAGAATTTATTTCTGAATGTATTTTCCGGAGCTTATAAAAATTTATTTTCCGGAATATTGGTAATTGTCTGTAACTACTATATAATGCTACTTGGATTATCGATTGATTCTCTCTTCTTCTTCAAAAAGGCATAGGCTTTTGTTCAAAGCCTTTCCTTCGTCCACGTGACTCGCACGCGCACCCAGCCAAAACCTTTTGAAGGGTTTTTTTCCAAGTCATTTTCCCAGCCAGACCAAAACCTTGTGAAGGTTTTTGCGGTAAATTTTTTTTCCCAGCCAAACCAAAACCTATTGAAGGGTTTTTTTTCCAAAACCTATTAAAATTATTTTTAAAATTAATTTTCCACCAGCGGAGTCGAACCACCATCCATCAGCCTGTAGGCGGACGCCTTATCCATTCGCACACACGCGAGCTTTAATAGCTATGAAATAAAATTGAATATATGTCGGCTGGTTTCCTTCTCTCTTCAACCAGCTTCAACGGCAAAATTTATTATCGATCGAATCGCCCCCTAAACGCCCACTAGGAGAAAATAGAAAAATAAACAAAGGAGATAGTGTGTTGAATAAAGAGAGACTGCACTGACTCAACCTGGTTGAGTCAGTGCATGTTCTCTAACCCACCCTCCTCCCAGTGCGAAAATTTATTATCGATCGAATCGCCCCCAAATACCTACTAGAAGAAAATAGAAAGAGGAGAGAAGAAGATAGTGTGTTGAATAAGGAGAGACAGCACTGACTCAACCTACCCTGACGGCTGAGTCAGTGTAGGTTCTCTAACCCAGTGGTTAGAGAAAAGAAAAATAGTGTTGCAGCGGGATGGCTGTCACAAACTACAGCCACCCAGCTGCGGGGGGAAGAGAGAGTGTACTCTCTTGTGAAAGTACACTCTCTCGCTCCTATTTTTCTATTTTTCTGCAGAAGTAAACCACATTTGGCCAACACTCTATAAAATCACATTTCGCCAAACCACATTTGACCAGCTACGACATGTACCATCATTTGGTCTGACTATCAGTTTATTATTTTGGGTTACGTGTAGAGACAAGGGGAAAATTCTGGACAATATCCGCTGCCTCGCTATTAGTTAAATAGCCGCGGTTGCGTAAATATCTTATTGTTGAAACCCAGCAAAGGACTAGGATGGGTAATAAAAGTGAATATAATAATAGAATAATGGGAAATCCTGTACTTATAGTTTGGCCCTGTTTACCCTCCAAATATTCTCTATCAAGAGATAAAAAATCGTAAGGAACGTCGATTGTATTGTTCATTGTTATTACCAAAATTAGGAAAACTGTTATGTATTAACCTAGTGTTGAATCAGAAACAATATGTCTGTTATAATCAATCATTAGCAGTTGATCAAACTCGCCCATAATTATCATTTCGACACCACCTGCTGGAATTGGTGAATTAAATTCTAGACGAACACTAGTTGTTCCACTACGTAGCAGCTCAAATCCGCAAGAGTCATCTAAAGTAGATGTTAGGGGAATAACAAAGAAACTCCAGCCCGATTTAAATTGGGACATTGAGATGTCAAAGGACCTATCCGAATTGGCCATCCCCAATGCTTCATACATGTCAACATAAGCCCTTACGAAAATATCCTCGTCAAATTTAAGCTTATATGAGACCATTGGATAGATATGGCCGCCAGTATGAACTGAAATATCCCTCAAATTGAATGGTTTAAAATTAAATGGTGAAAGACTAATGTCCCCGTTAAATGCCCCATTTGCAACAAGTGCAACGGTAATTCTTCTTGGAATAGTTGAGCTAAATGCATTGTATTCAATTTCGGTTCTTCCAGGACTAAGGAAAGTAGATTTAAGCTCAGTTCTTCTCACTGCATAAGTAGCCGGCTTTGATTCAAGGGTAATATAATGTGATGTATCGTAAATAGAGGGTATCACCCAATGACCAACCAAATTTTTAAATAAACGTCTCTTAAATAGAGGGTGTATCTAGTATTGAGTATTTCTTATGCCGAGATCCTTCTCTTAAGATGGATATCTTAAATAGAGGGTATTGTTTAGAGAGCTTCTCCACTGAGTATCCAATAAATAAAGGAGTATCTAATATTGGGTGTATCTTATAGTGAGGTATGCCCATTTCTTACCAGTAATGAATTAACTCTGTTCAACTTTTTCCTTTCTTCCCTTCCTTTGAACACACTGCTATTACTGCTTCTACTCTTCCCGCTACTGCTTCCACTACGTTTCCTTCGTTGCGCATTTTTACGGGCTATCACTCTTTTCCGTTCCTTAATTACACCTCCAGCCCTTAATAAACGCTCAATGCAAAAGCTACGGCAAAGGTGTGAGCGTAGAGCAAAGTGAACCCCACAGGCGATTGTTACGAAGCAAATACAGAAAACGATAAATAAAATTGTTGGGTCGAGCTATAAAAATAGAATTTAAAATCAGAATTTATTTTCCGGAACATAGAAAATATATTTTTTCTTGAACTTAAAATTAAATTCCGGAAATACCAGAATTTAATCATTTATTTCTGGTATCAGTTTCCGGAATATAAATACCTAAATAAAATTTTATTTTCCGGAAAAAATCAGAATTTATAACTTTCCGGAAAAATCAGAATTTATAACTTTCCGGAAAAATCAGAATTTTATTTTTTCCAGAAGAAATCAGAATTTATATATTTTCCGGAAAAATCAGAATTTATATATTTTCTAGAAAAATCAGAATTTATGCATTTCCGGAAAAATCAGAATTTATATTTTCCGGAAAAATCAGAATTTTATTTTTTCCAGAAGAAATCAGAATTTATATATTTTCCGGAAAAATCAGAATTTATATATTTTCCGGGAAAATCAGAATTTATGTATTTTCCGGAAAAAAATCAGAATTTATGTATTTTCCGAAAAATCAGAATTTACATATTTTCCGGAAAAATCAGAATTTACATATTTTCCGGAAAAATCAGAATTTTTAATATAACTATAAAGCACAAACTTGACAGCAATCCACACCACAACACCAAGACCAGTATTGTGAGCAGTGAAAAAACAGTTGAATAAACGAAGATGGATTGCCACCGGGAATACCATCTTCATAGGCTTAAGAATATTAAATAATTTAATTTTTTATTTAGAAAATTAAACTACCTAAATAGAAAACTTCATTAGAAGGCACTTTAACTCTGCATACTTGGCCTATGCCTACTTCAATTTGACTGGTTTCACTTAATTTTTTCAAAATATTTTATTATTTTTTTAATTTCATTCTCCGTTTAATAATTAATTTTATTTTCCCCCAAATTTTACCTTCCATACTCCGTTCCCATTTTATTTTTGTCTGCTTCACCAGCGCCGTTCTCTCCAATTCCATAATAATAATATAATTGTGTAGGTCTACTTATTAAGTGAACAATTTTGTGTTCATCGACACTACTTGATTTCAATATTTGTGAAGGTGATTCGTTGAATATAGAGGCAGAATTGACGTATGAAACCATATTTATTAATAGTATGCCCTAAACTTTCCCGAATTATTAGTATTTCAATAATATTGTAAGGCTGAAAGGTGTAATCCTTGAGAAACTAATAAAAACCCCGCCTAGAGAGAAGGTGCAAATAAGCTAAAGGAAAATAGGGAAAAGCGGCTTAGTTGACGATCATTCCAACTTAGTTCCTATTCAATCAATGGCCTAGTGTTCGGTCGGCCTAGAGCCTGACCAAGTGGTATACCAACAATCATTCACCCCGCTCGCTTGCGCTACCTCTGGCAATTATTCACCACACGCATTTCCATCAACATCTTCTCTCTTTAATTAGGCTGGGCCCCCTAATTAAATTATTTACTATATTTTCCCTTAAGCTTAATTCGGTAAATATATTTCCGGAAATATATTTCCGGAAATTATTTTCCGGAAGGATAATTCAAGTTAAATGTATTTTTAAAATTGTAAACCTTTCCGGAAAAGTTTCCGGAAAGTTGTAATTTTATAGTGTATTTTAGGTTTGTAATTTAAATAATAAAAATGTGTTTTCTTCCGGAAACTTTCCGGAAACCTCTTTTAAGTTTGCGGTTTTTAATACAAAAATGTGTTTTCGTAATTTTACGATTTTTAATGTAAATGTGTTTTCCGGAAGCTTTCCGGAAAGTTTAATTTTATTTAAATATTTTTAAGATTGTAATTTTGTAGAGATGTATTTTCCGGAAATTGCAAACTTAAAAGTTCTCGGAATACTCTCTCCTAAAATTATAGTCTCCTATTTTGACTCAATTACACAGAGGTGGGTTGGAATTCTGACTTCCGACGTTTTTTCCTTCCGTTTTCCGAAAAAAATTTTGATTTCCGAGTTCCGAGTTCCGAACTTTGAGCCAGTGTCTATTTCCGGCTCTTCCAAGTTCCGACACCTCTGACTTTTCCGACCCACCTCTGCTAAATTAATTCTCTCATTAGCTAAAAAATAATTAAAGCAAGGGCGTATTTTTTACCCTTAAAATTATAACATTTAAATATTTTTTTGGATTTAAATTTGACAAATAAAAGTAGCTAAATAACAATAAACAAATTTTACAAATGTTTAAACAAAGTCAGTCAACCTAAATTTAATTTGAGGCTTCAAAATAGCGTTAAAAAATTTTTTTTATTCTTTTTATCACGAAGAATATTAAATTTATACAAGTTTTCATCATTTCAAGTTTAAAAGAATAAAGAAAAAAAGTTTTTTGACTTAATTTAATTTACAAAAAAATTTGAAAAATAACAAATAATATTTGTAATTAAAAAGCAGATTTTTTATGTTTAATCTTTTTTATATATTATAATATAAATGTATTTTTCCGGAAACTTTAGGGTAAAAGTTTACAATAGAAATGTATTTTAGAACCTTTCCGGAAAACTCTTCCATAATCAACTTTCCGGAAAACTTAAGTTTACAATTTTAAAATAAAAATGTGTGTTTTCCGGAAATATCGGAAAAATTATTTTAATTACCTATACACTTGTATTATAGAATAGTTTCCGGAAACTTTCCGGAAACTTATTTTAAGTTTAAAATTTTATTATAAGTGTATTTTCCGGAAAACTTCTTTTAAGTTTACAACTTTAATGAAACTGTATGCTTCCGGAAACTTTCCGGAAAACCTATTTTAAGTTTACAAAAGGTGTATTTTCCGGAAAACTTTTTTTAAATTTACAACCTTAATATAGAAATGTGTTTTCCGGAAACCTATTTTAGTACAAAATGTGTATTTTTCCGGAAAACTTTCTATAGGTAATGTGTTTTCCGGAAACTTTCCGGAAGCTTACTTTAAGTTTAAAATTTTATTATAAATGTATTTTCCGGAAAACATATTTTACTTTTACAATTTTTAATGAAACTGTATGCTTCCGGAAACTTTCCGGAAACTTATTTTAAGTTTACAAAAGGTGTGTTTTTCCATAAAACTTTTTTTATGTTTACAACCTTAATATTGGAATGTGTTTTCCGGAAAATTTTCCGGAAAACTTTCTTTAAGTTTACAATTTTACTATAAAAATGTGTGTTTTCCGGATACTTATTCTTATAAGTATAATCAGTTCATCTTCTGATTTATCCATAATTGTAATTATAATTGTAAGGGTAGTAGTAATTATTGTAGCCATATCCTCCATTATTATAACCACCATAACATCCACAATTATATCCATACCCACCAGTATAACTTCCATAACCCCCTCCATAACCATATCCTCCTCCATAACCCCCTCCATAACCAGCTAAATTGCCCAAAATCGTTCCACTTGTATAACTATCAGCATAACTTGCCAGGCAATTTTTATGGCCAATAAATATAAAAAAGAAGAGAAAAAGGACAAAATTAATTTTTATTGAGAGGAGCATTGCTTTGGAGATTTTTAAAAATTTTTTTGAGGTTCATACAAAAATGAAGGTGCTTTTAAATGGAAAATTTTCTAAGGTTTCCCCATTAACTTTTTAATTTTTAATTGGATTAAAAATTCTTTTCCCCCTAAATTTGACTATATTTACAAGTGTAGCAGATATTGAACTTTAGTTTTCCCAGTAGTTAACATTTTAAAAATAAAAAATATTATTTTTGTTTCCTTTTCTAAAATTTTATTTTCTGTTAATTTTTAACGCTTGAATTGTATAAAACTTTTGTGTTTTAATTTTTATTTTTATTTTCTAAAAATGGAATTGCATATTGGAATTAAAAGGACATTTTATAAATCATTGCACATTAATCATTTGCAAGAGATTTAATAAAAGAATAATCAGTGTTACTTTTTTTTAATTTATGTTTTAGACTATTAGATTTTTCTGGGAATATTTCTGGGAATATAATACATGTTTATTATAATTAGTTTTCCGGAAAATATATTATAATATTATCTTTCAAGAAAATACAATATTATGTACATATAACTTAATTTCCGGAAGAATACATAATTTATTCAGAGATAATTGTTTATTCCGGAAATATATGTAATATTCATTTTCCGGAAATGAGTATATTATAATCTATCGGGAAATTAGATATTTAAATATTTTTCCGGAAATAAAGACAATATATTTTCCGGAAAAATATGGGTAATAAATTCTATATTTCCGGAATAAACAATTATCCCTGAATAAATTATATATTTTTCCGGAAAATATATTATAACTTTGTTTCCGGAAAAATATTTAAATATTTAATTTCCGGATAATATACTTATTTCCGGAAAATAAATATATGTACATATATTTCCGGAAAATAAATTATTTATAATTTATTTTCCGGAAAATATATTTTTTTCCGGAAAGTATACACAACTTAGTTTCTTTAAATATAACCCATAGTAGTTAAGTACATTCGTTAGCTACCATTTTTAATTCTATTAATCACGAAATTCATCGTTGACCTTTCCTTCAAAACAGTCTCATTTATTAAGCAATATTTCCTTTTTTTGTAAAAATAAATTTAAAATTAAACAGTTGGTTATCCTATTAAAAAATAAAAATAAGAAAATATGTAAAGAAACAATAAAAAAAAAGATTTATGGCTAATTGTAAGTGAAATGTGAAGGGAAAAATCAGAATAGTTATTTATTTGAACAGCTAAACAACTTTTTTCCGTTTTATGGTGATAGGAATAAAATAGAAGCTTAAAAATATATAGGACACAATTTTGTTTAAATTTGGATACTTTTTTGCTAATTTTCTTTTTTTTTTAAATTAATTGTTTGCCCAAATGTAGACGAAAAAATTTAATAAAGAAGACAAAATAAATTCTGAAAAATAAATTCTGATTTATTTTAAATTCTGAAAAATAAATTCTGATTTATTTTAAATTCTGAAAAATAAATTCTGATTTATTTTAAATTCTGAAAAATAAATTCTGATTTATTTTAAATTCTGAAAAATAAATTCTGATTTATT